AACTCGTGAAGCGCCGTCTGGCGCCGGCAACTTACCCCTACTTTGTTCAAGAAATCGACCCTGAGAACTTGCACTAAGTTCAAGATGTTGCGGCTGCTACAGGGGGTCCACAAATCATCGTAAGGAGACTATTTCTACCATGTAAGATAATACAAAGGATATTGTTAGTAATATAGGAGGTAGAATGCCCTGTGCTGTTGTCTCCTAAGTAGTCTAAGAGATACTTAGCCACTCTCAAGAATGCCTAATGGTGCATGTCTGTTGCCTGGACATCTGGCATCCACTTCATATCATGGTTTTATCTTACAGTCTGTTCGGCCTCATAAGCCATGGAATGGCATGGATTTTCTTAATTCTACTTATTTGTAAATTGTCCATCACAGACTTACGTATGGCATGGAGACCCAGAAAACTTGAATGATTGAATACCCATGTTAGATGGAGTGCACATACACTCAAATCCTTCTCAAGCCATGACATACAACACTCAAAAATTCTGAGGTACAAGGATCTATGCTTAATACTATGCGCTCCCTGTACCTCTAAGTTCTAGCTCACAATATGCCTTCAAACCAACACTTATTACATAGTTGAGCGGGACTTAAGTGTGAACATTGAGATGGATTCCTGACCATGGCCACACTGCGGGAGTTGCAGTCTTTAGGGGCGGGCAAAAGATTGTATGAAAGGGAATTCCGCGGGCTCTAATTGGCTGGAAATTACCTTTCGTACAATCTTCTGCCCGGCCCTAAATACTGCAACTCCCGAAGTGCCAAGTCCTTGTTCAGTAGTAGCGCCACTAGGGCCAAACATAGCACGCCGGATTTTGCCGGTGCGACGAAAAGTGCGACACAATTCAAGGGTGCCAGAACCCCTCGCAAAGGAGGGGCACTCGCTCTCACCGTGAGAACCTCATGTAAGCAATGGTCCCGACCGGACTGACACCACTTTTGTTTTGACGATCAAGTGATGCAAGTGCGTAGCATTTGATAAAAGGATGCATTCAAACAAGTGAAGCCAATAGATGAGACTAGTATCTCTGAGTGGGAACTGGTAACTCAAGGAAGCCCCTTTAATACTGATGTAGATATAAGACAGGACTATATGAATACTGTGTATGTGTCCATCAAGAGTGGCATTCCACAGCTTGACCACACACTAGTACTGATATACTTAATGGTTTCTGACTGGAGTCGGGGATTGGCGCTTGCACCGCTATGATTCGGTTGCGCGGGTAGGGTAGGGTAGGTTAGCTGGGTCCTCGGTTTCCCAGCGGTCCCAGTGGCTTCTATTCTCACCCTGAGTCACAGAGTGTGACATGCGCTATTTATGGATGGATCCTGCTTCTTCAAGTCTGGAGCTCAGACCCACGTGCATCTATTCCTCATTTGAGCAGCGCAATGGTTCTTTGGCAATGGCCAGCTCTGCTGATTGGCCAAATACTCTAAAACCAACTGGTCTAGCTCGGCTTATCGGCAGCATGCACAGACACCCATACAGGTGCGGTCACTCTGGTGACAGACCTGGCGCTGGACTTGAGTCCACCAAACACGTTCTGTGAGACCTGCGAACGGGAAATTTCCTCGGTTGTATCCGAAACGCCACAAATTTTGTACTTTAACCCTACCCTACCCTACCCTACCCGCGCAACTGAACAGGCCCTAACGGATCATTTCCACCAGACCAGTTTTTGAAATGCCCAAAATTGAGTGAGATATAAATCTGACCTAAACAAAATTGGCCACACATGTGCTTGCTTGCCTACTATATCAGGTCGTAACTACTACCATGTATGGTATGCTAATAAATACAAGTTAAACCTTATGACAGTCTAACACTTTTGTTTTCCCCTCAGTATGAAGGTTTTAAGTGTTTTCCAAGCAACAGGGATGCTTTCAGGAACTAACCAAGCTGTAAAATCTGCCTTCTGAAATTCAAATTTGACAAGTGTACAAAATTGGCAGTTACCAAGTGCTGAGCACCATAATTACCCTCACAAGGCAGTTGTGTCATCATTCAACATTTGAGCCTGGTCTCTCACACTACTCAACCACTTGTTGGAGACTCACAGTACTAGATGCTACGAAAGGTTTTGACTGTTCCGTAATACAAGGACATCTCCCTGCATTGCGAGGAGCTTGGTTCATGACCATCAATGGGAATACTTGTACTGTGGAGGACACAATACTTACTGTATGCACAATGCTAATTGTAGGTTATTACATAAGTAATCATAACCACAGCATTTGTTCAGTAATAAGCATTCGAGAGCCCTCTCATCAATCGGAGTATTTTCACCAGAGGAACATCTGACCTTGAGATAGTAGCAAGTAAATGACTAGTTAATTAAAGCTTGTTATTAACCACTGTCAAAAGCCAGTAGGTGTGCTCAATAATTGATTGTTCGGATTGTTTGTCTGTGCTGCAAAACCAAAATGTAGTGTTGCCATGGCTCAGAATATAATATCGACAGGATCCTGGCCCATGGTCCTGAGTCATGGTCCTGGCCCAGTGGTCCTGTGGTGCCCAGTCGAAAAATCAAGAGAAACAAATACAGTACAATTGATACCATCACACGTGAGCATGATAGTGTTTTGTGTCACACTGCTGACACTGTTACAGGTCGGCGATCACATCCCGGTGGCCAATGTCTGGCCACTGACAAGAAAAGGGACTTGTTACTGTTGAACTAGGCGCTGACTTAGCTGCCAGGTTCTACAACATACCAGAATGCACTGGAACTCCCTGGAACATTCTGGTATATTCCACTATTGTACAAGGGCACAGAGCTCATGTGGGTCAGTGACAACATAGGTGGAGCCCAGTAGGATTAGGGATATTCCATGTAGCTTAGTCAGCCTATGGGCCACAGTGTATATAAACCCTGCAGCTCTGCTGCCTAATGACAAAAGGTTGTTCATTCGAGCTCTAGCAGTAGCATTAGCATCCAACCAATACAGGTGAATTGTCTGCTGCCTCCATAACTCTTCATCAGTTACTCTACTTCTCCTTAGAAATACCTAGGGAAACTATGCATAACAAGCAGGTATGCTGCATGGCATGCTACAGGGAGTTACGGGGAGGGTAGCAGATATAATCTCCACATCCAGCCCCTGCACTGAGCGCGCCGCACGTGAACACCTTGTGCACAGCTTTGTAACAGTGGCTAATGTCACACCCTGCAACAAGACATCCGGATGCTCGGTTTGCTGTAGTACTCTAAAGTACTCTAACAGCATATGTCGCAGCAATTGGGTAACATTGCAAACCTATGGACCTGACTGTGCCCTCTGAGCAGGCCCCCTAAAAATACCCATAGAGGTCTGATACCAGATACCAACTTTCCCCCGATTTTTACCAAAACCAAAATTACCATATTAGGATGCATTTTACCCGAAAAGTATCCTACCTCTCACCTTAGATGTGATTTTTTACCGGAACATTGGTATCCAGCCTGAGGGCTTGTGGACATTTATTTATTTAGTCACAAAAGAATTCTGGTGCCTGCGGTGATACCAGGTTCAGTTATGTATGAGCTTCATGAGCCTCTCTGAGGTGCACTGGTGTATATGGAATCCAAGAATCTCACCCAGCTGATTGTTGTGGCAAGTTGTGGCACTGTTGTGGCTATAATTGTTACCCAAATAGGATCTGACCTTTGCTCTGGATGCCTGTTTTTACCCGAAAATTGGTATCCAAGATTGATCGCACCAGCAGGTCCTTTACCAAAACTGTATCAGACCTGGCACCCATTTGAGGGTGATTTTTACCAAGACCGGTATCAGACCACTATGGGTATTTTCAGGGGGCCTGATTTAGCTCCGAGGTCAGGCGCTCCAGAGCAGATAAAGAAGTAACTTCGGCACGATTTATCTCCGGCAGTCGCGGGAACCTGCCTAATTGTGAGTTGTCCTCATCCCCAGCTTCCCGTACTTCCTCCCCTTCATCTCCATCAAATTACCGAGTTTGTGGGCATAAATCCGCGGCCATGAGGCCAGCATCAGTCAGAAAGCGGCCGGAGTTAATTTGCATGTGACCGGCATGCTATGCAACACGATGGGAAGGCTGAGGATCAGCACAAGCATATCAGGACAACCTCTAGGGAGTAGGAGGAGCATATGGAGGGACTAGGGAGTCGTATGGTGCATGGTATAGCGGCAGACAGATGCTGAGCGGTCAAGGGAGTTGCGGTGAGTATTTGTTACTTATCTCCGGGTGGTTGCAGGGTCATTGCCGTAGTATAAAATGTATGATGAAAGGAAAGTAAAAACAAGTTTGCTCTTCACCATCTCAGCATATCAGAGTTATTATCTCAGTGACCCTCGAAGTTCAAAAGCGTCGGACTTAGTGATTTACAACTGATCCTAGCTTTGCCAATCAGCCTGACTTGTCACTTGAATTATCTCTGCTGTCAAAATATTAGCTCTCATGAGTATTACATAGCAAAATAAATTTAACCAAGTCTCTCTAGCAATTTCCATCTCCACGAGCACGATCCTACGCTAGGTGTTGGTGCTTGCGACCTTTGTTTATCTTCAATTCTTCGGAGATAAATACTCCAGAGCCTCGATTCATGTTTGTTCCAGGTGTCAAGACTTCATTTTATTTTTCTAGGTCTTCCTACGGACTACCCTACATCGTCTTACTCCTCCCCCTCCTCTCGAACTTAAATATTACCCTTCAATCATCTTAGACCACCTCCACCCATACCACTGGGTGTGATAGGTTATTTCCCATTTGGTCTTAGGTGTTGTTGTGTGTCAGTGCATATCAGTGGCCTTACTCAGGCTGTTGGCTTGTCGGAGAGCATAAAAAACTTCGGATGGCTACACTATGAGACTCTTAGATGGCATAGGATAAATATTAGGAATTGTATGGATTACTTGCTGCTGTTGCAGCGATGGTCATCCTTAATAGGAGGAGCTGTGGCTCAAGCTGCAAGCCATGGGGCATTACTCACTCCCAGGCATGATATTGATATTGAGTGGAGTTTCAATTCTATAGCCGGCAAGCTCATGTGGCCCATGAATGACCCTCAAGGAGTTCCAGGATATGTATTTGGGTCAAAACTGTCAGAATGCTCACTTAAAGAGCATGCTATAGAGCTTTGTATAGTCTCAAATTTTTATAATCATGTCGCGGCCACCATGTCAGCCTTGTTGCTGCGAGTGCAAGGCGGGCATTGCTGAGATCATTAGTGAGGTTCGAACTCCACTCAATATCATAAACAAACTGTATACCTGTTTATAGCTGTTCATAAAATCTGATACTTTAACCCAATACTCTATCCTGGAGTAAAGAGTGTACTACATACTTGTGGTGAGAGGTACACAGCCAGAAAGCTCGCAGGCGAGGACTTCCAGTTGCAGCCACCGCTGATATTGTGAGGGTTTCTAGGCGTGGGAAATGTGCACCGAGTGTCTCACATTCAATATCGCAGTGAGCAACTATGATGGTTAAAAGCATGTTGTGTACTATGAAACCTTCAGAAGATCTCTTACTTGTAGCTACCTGCACCATGTAGGTGTTGTAAGATAGAGCCACCTCATGTACAACTACCATCACGTGACTCTTTTCGTCACACTTGGCGGGACAAACACCATGATTGCCTTAAACCTCCAGACACGAACAGAAAACGCCTAATAGGTTTTATAGGAATTAAAGATACAGTACATAGAAACAGTTCCTATAAAAAATATCTGAGAATTTCGACCTACCCGTCTTATAATCAGCTGAAGTGTGCTCAATTCTATTGATGAGTTTGTCGATTTCCTTACACTGACCTGCCGTATATGGATAAAACATGTGATTGTCACAGTGTGACCATAGTAGCTGTACATGAGGTGGCTCTATCTTAGGCAATTGGTAGGGGGTATTTTCTTAGATACTCAGTCAATACCCGTCGAAGACCGGGGAGAAAAATTAATTGCACATCAAATTTGCGAGAACCAGAATCCTAGACATACATCTCCTGCCTCACAGGTGAGCAGCAGGATGTTGCATGACCAGCTCATGAGCAAAAGCAGCCTTCCAGCCACAAATAATCATATTTGGATGTCGGCGCATGGCTCCCTGAGCCTTCCCCCTTTTCCTTTTTATTTTCTTTTTACTGCAGTGGTATCATTATCGAGCCCAAGCCGTCAGCTCAGCTCAGCACGGCTTGTTTTCGGCTCCGCTTGGCTGGCTGGTGTGGCTTGTGCCGAGCTACAGCAAGACTACCAAGACGGGCTACTTTTCGGATTTTTCCCGATTTCCTTTAGGGTGTGGCCAAATTTTTGACCCCGTACAACCCATTTTAAGGGAAATAAAGGGTTTATGAGAATTTCGCTCGTGCCAATCTAGATTCCTGCATTAGAATCCGAACTCCCACGGGTTCTGGGACTGGAAAAATGGGGTCGCCGAAATTGCTGCCTTTGGTTGTCCGCGACTGTAGTCTGAACCGATGATGATGCACTTGTACATACGAGTAACAAAGTTGTCAGAGTCCGATCACCACCAAGACTAGTGTCCTATAGACACCTTCCAGGTACACCGCTTCTTGTAGTGATCCTCTACAGACAGGTCTCACGGTAAGAATTTACTGTGTCGTACAAGAATAACGGGAAATCAAGGAACCCGAATAGATGCCCGGCGCATCCCGTCAAGCCTAGTGCTCTCCCCGTCTAATATCTGTCCACCGCCTCATACAGCATTGATTCTACCGTTATAATATTGGACCGCTGAATGCTCCAAGGAGTTGCTGGCCATGCTAGCCTGCCATAGTCCTGCCATACCGTGCAGAAAGGACATTATTCCCTGTATTTCTGCGCCTGCGATCACGGACATCGCCCAACACGATCATGATATGGAACCGGAACTGGAAGCCCTGATAGACATGGATTTCCTCACGGGAGTTTGCGTTCGATACGAGCGGACTTTTCTTCCAGTGTGGTGCACCCCTCACTCAGGCTAAGAATACCTAAGCCACGTATCTTCGGGACCGCGACGCGGATTCTCCCCGCCTATAGAGGATTCGATTCCTGAGCGACGTACTTCTCTAGCCTTCGCTGGCCGTCAATGAGCATTGCTTTTATAATCCACTTCGTCTGGGGACTCGACCTTCTCCCATACAAACTATCCCTAGTGCACTCATGGTATCATCAAGAACAACGTCACTACCGCTGCTAATCATAATTGTGGGCGGCGGCATCGCTGGCCTTGCTTCCGCATTTACACTGCGGAAGGCAGGGCATCAGGTGCTTGTGCTCGAACAAGCCTCGGGCCCTGCGAAGGTACGGTCAGCTTCTTTCTGACGGTTTGGAGTAGCTCACGAGAGCTATGCCCTAACAGGGAGGCGGAGGAATGCGCTCGCCGCCTAATATGACCCGTATATTGATGCGCTGGGGCCTCGGTCGACAACTGGCCGCGCAAGCGATCAAGGGTTCGGAAATCTCATTCAGACTCAGTAAGGAGACATTCTCATCGACATGTTAATGGGGCTTAAGCGCCTATAGCCCGCACTGGAGAGAAAGTAGGAGCAATGGTCTTCCACGAAGAGATCATGAACGCTTTTGGAGCAGACTGGCTCTTAATCCAGGTGATCGCTTTCTTTCTACCGCCTGAACCTAGCTTGAAGTCGAAGTACTCAATTTTTATATCCACATAACAGTACGATGATCTTTATAGCTGGGTATATTCACTCGCAAAGAGTGCGGGAGCAATGATCCGCTTCTCGTCTCATGTCGTTAGCGTCGACCCTTCTCGGGCGTCTATCGTGCTGTCCACCGGGGAGACTATCAGGGGAGACCTGATTATCGGAGCGGATGGGTTGTCGAGTGTTGTACGACGATCGATAACCGGAAGAGCTGGCCCGACTTTATCCACAGGGCGCCAACTCTATGTGTCCAAGTCAGTCTGGGCGATTTGCCTGAACGACCGCTCATTGATTGATTGAATCGTTGTTGTAGCACCTCTATCCCTTCAGAATTAATGAAGAGCGATCACAGTCTACACGCGCTTCTCAGAGAGCCTAAGGTGGGCTTGCCGCTTACTTTCTCGCAATATCACACATAACAGTCGCATTCCAGCTAAATATGTGGATGGGCGATGGATTCGCAATCTATGGAAGTCCCGTTGTGAGTGCCTAATATTCTTACCTACGTCCCACGATTGATTAATCTTGCAAAGAGTGGCTACCGAAATTATTGTGTAACAATCGCGGCACCTATACGACGCAATCGTGAAGGTCACAGCGTTCGATTCGATATTGACTATGCTACCCTTGAACCAAGGTGTGAAATTTCATAGTGCGGTTGTCTCCGCCACTTAGTCACCTGCTTTGAAGACTACAGAAATTATTGGGATTAGTGAGGATAGACACGGTTACGCCGCAACTAAGTGACAGACCGCTGGAAAGCCTCATCCACGACTCAAACAAGGTCATTCTAGTCGGTGCAGCAGCCCACCTGATACCTGTAAGCCTAATCGAAAGGAACATACGTGCGTAGTCTCATCTCTCTTGGAAACAGGACGGTCAGACGCAAAACGTTGCAATGGGCATCGAAGACGCAGCAATCCTTGGCAACCTGTTCTCCCGCCTGCGCTCGCCCGACCAGCTCCCTTCGCTCGTCTCCGCCTACGAGGAAATCCGCCTCCCGCGCGCCGCCGAGGTCCTTGCCTCCGAAATAGGCAAGCTCGACCAGGTCACCTTCCTGGACGGCAGCGAACTCCAAGCTATACGCGATAAAGGATTGAGAGCGGCTCTATCGCAAACGGTCTTGGCATGGGACCAGGCCGACGAAGAGATGCTGCGGGAGCAGTGGGAGGAGCATATCCATATGTTTGACTATGATGCGGACGAGGTCGCGGAGGACTGGTGGATTAAATGGGGGAACTTGATGGACGTTGGCAGGCAGAACCGTCAGGAGGAGAGTAGGCTGCAGGGCCCTTTCGGAGGGCGGATGCATATTTGTGTCTCGCAGGTTTCAGATGCCCCTGCACCGAGAAGGATGGGAATGCGGGCTTGAGAATGGACGTTCGCCCCTCCCCGGGGGACGCTGATTGTGTGCAGACTATTTCTCCTGACGTCCAATGCAGCACTTGAGGATGAGCGTTGATAACCCCCCGGATCTTGGCCGGCCGTCCTACGGCTTTGGTGCATCTCATACGGTTTACATCCCTATCCTAGTAGTGTCGTAGCCCACAATAATGTATAGCCTGTAGCATTATACTGCTTCATATAATATATTAGTACTAGTCCTTGGCTTCACGGAAGTTGAAATTTAAATTGCCTAAACGGCAGGCGTGGACAGTGTGTCAGGTCTTAAGTGCGGGTGCGCAAGGTGTTCGAGTGTAAGCTGAATGCCTGTTTTCTGTTGTTCGTCCGTCAAAGAAGTCAAAGGGACACTCGCCAAGAATCGCTTCGTTCACGTTGAATCATGTGCACTCCTTACAAGTGACCTAGGCAAGATTATAGGGCACTTCTGTAGACCGAATTGTAAGCAGTGCCTCGGGAATTTATATTTGGTGTTATAGGCACCAATATTGGTGCTTTGGGCACTGAAATCGGCTGCTGTAAACCCTTACCTGGAGTATATTGAACACTTATGCTAGGTGTGATGGGGCACTTACATGGAGTGTTTTGGGCACTTACTTACATTGAGTGTTTTGGAGCCTTACATTGGGTATTTTGGGCACTTACATTGGGTGTACTGTATTGGTCATTGACACTTACATCGAGTGTACATGTATTGCGCAGTTGGATTGCATGTACTGTAGTATTGGATATCTGACAAAATGATACCTCAGGCACTTACGATGAATATCATAGCTCGAGCGCGGCTCACATTGCAAGTGCCTTGGGTACTCACCGGTATTCACCCAGCAGTGCCTTCGACGTTCAAACGTTCAAGCTTCAAGCTGCGTTCGAGTGCGTTCACACAGACACCCGTTCTTAGAAGCGTGTGAAAATACTATGCAGCGCGTCGCCGATGACCAGAATTACCGCACCCAGTCTCTACTGCCTACCATTCTCCCCCCCTCGATTCCTGTTCCACTGCATCGTGAAAGACTGCTGAAGCAGGATGATGCTGGCACAGGCTGACCGTCATAACCCTAATCTGCTCTTTGCGAACTTCAACCAAGACTTCACGTAAGGATTGTGACGGTGCGTTCTGTCCGTAGAGATGGCTGAGAGAGGTCGAATATCTTGCAGATGTATTTCCGTGGGCACGAAGAAGGGCTACAGCATTACGAATTGCGATCCATTTGGGAGGGTATATACCATGAGTGAGTGTGTTTATCTTACCCGCTTACCCTGCCTAACGAAGGCCAGACGATGGCGCCAGAGGCATTGTTGAGATGCTGTTCTGCACATCGCTAATAGCGCTGGTGGGGGCTGCTGACCAGCCCTCGTCAAGTCCGCGAAAACTCCAGATAGTCAACACGAAGGTACGGCTCGCACTGCACGGCTTGTTCGCCCAGTCTGATGCAGATCCAGCGCCAATCCATGATCTGTGAACTCCTCTTCCCCTCGTCCATCCTCGCAGTCAAACTGAACCGCAAGACGCTTGTTATTGTGCTCGAGTCCGAAATATACATTTACGATATCTCGAATATGCGCCTCCTGCACGTCATCGAGACCACGCCCAACCCGGAAGGTGAGTTTCCTTCTCAGGAGAGGCTGAGCCAGACTAACACTATTCCCTCCAGCAATATGCGCCCTCTCCCCCTCCGCAGACAATTCATACCTCGCCTACCCCTCTCCCGTCCCTTCGCCAACTACCATGTCCACGCAAGTACCTTCCGCGCCCTCGGTACAGTCCGGCGACGTCCTCCTGTTCAACACGCGCTCACTAACTGTCGCCAACGTCATCCAAGCGCACAAGTCGCCCATTTCCTTCCTCTCCATCAACTCAAACGGCACCCTGCTAGCGACCGCGTCCGACAAGGGCACCGTGATCCGTGTCTGGAGCATCCCCGGCGCGGAGAAGCTCTACCAGTTCCGCCGCGGAACTCGCGAGGCCCGGATATACTCGATAAATTTCAATATTGTATCGACGCTGCTGGCGGTTAGCTCGGCGCACGATACGGTGCATATCTTCAAGCTGGGGCCTCATAGATCGAGTGGATCGAGTATCAAGAATGGGCAGGGGCCGGCTAGTCCGTCGGGCTCTGTGAACAGCGGAGAACAGGCGATGGATGGTGGGTACGAGGCGTATATCGACAGCCAGAAGAAGGGTGGTGTTTCGTGAGTCTACTCAAACCGATTTATATCGCATCTGCTTGACGTCATATCTCATCTCATCCTTTCTACTCTCTAGTTCAAGTCTGCGCCGTAAATCCCTGCAAATGGGAAAGAGCCTCTCGACTTCCGTCGGAGGCTATCTGCCCAACACTTTGACGGAGATGTGGGAACCATCGAGAGATTTCGCGTTCCTACGGCTACCCACGAGCGGCGTAAGGTCCATAGTTGCATTGAGCGGGTTAGTCTTAGTTATTATATGCATGTCGAGCCTCCACAGATTGATCACGACCTTTAGTACGATGCCTCAGGTCATGGTCATCTCTTCCGATGGCTACTTCTATTCCTACAGTATCGACCTAGAGAACGGAGGGGAATGTTCGCTGTTGAAGCAATACAGGTGCGAGAATTTTGAATCGTAGTGCATCAGGGTTGCTTACGGATGCCCTCAGCCTACTTGACTCGGGTGAGGAAGGCGGCACCGAGTAACAGCGTTGAGGTCTTCTGCTCTCTTTCATCTTTTCCTTCGCGGGATTACCAGGCTGTCTACACCTTCCGAGCTAATTCCTATTATGCATCGATGTATTATATTTTCGAGTTATGTTGCATGTCAGACTCGCCTGACGAATGCCTACGGATACTCTGAAGCGTACACTGCGGGCAGAGACCGATGTCCCGCCGGCGGGCATGCCAGGAACATCTCCCTGACGGGAGAACACTTTCCTAGAATGGTCCTTGCTGGACCATAACCTGGACATGAAGAATCTCCTTTGAGTGAACAAAGAAAGGTCTGCGGGACATTTACTATGGTCCCCAAAAATCAGGGGACATTTAATTAACATTGTCCTTTCATTCTTTATGTCTGTATCATGTCCCGCTACGGAGCATCCTACGAAAATGTTGTCCCACCCTTGCCGTGAAAGATGAATGACCGGTGGCAGGATACCGGCCCATCCGGCTCCATTTGGTTGCCGTAGGCCCACCGCCTGACGGCCACGCCGTGCGCGTGTTTGAGTGCTCGACATGACCGCGACGCTCCGCCTATAACCTCTATCTATACCTCTCGCGTCTCCTGCGACACCGACCCCAACATGGACCATTTCTCGTGGTCAGACGGCATACGCGCCGTACTGTCACCGTGCCTACCATGTTTTCGACCCTCCTCACCGCCTGCCGATAATGAACACCGCGTGCGTCCCGAACTTGAGGGCTTACTGGCCGATATCGAGACCGACACCGAGGCGGAGACGGTGTCGCTGCACTCAAATCTGGGGGACAGGAACCGGCGGAAAAAGAAGAAGAGGAGGAACAACAAGAGCATCAGTATCTTCGGGTACGATCTCTTCGGCCGCCCGCCTATCCAGCTGCCCGAGTCGGACGATGAACTCGAAGGAGGTGGCAGGAGACGTACACGCTCCGGACAACTAACGGTGTCCTCATCGACGACGCTTGACTCAGATGCGGCCCCGCTCGACCCCGCCACGATTGACCAGCTGCCTAATATGCAGCTGAGAGCCGCGGCCGAGGCAGAACAGCGCCGGCAGAAGGAGGAGAAGAGGGCACGGAGAAGGGAGAGGAAGGAGATGAAGAAACTTGCGGCGGCGCTTGCGCTGGAGAGCGCGGAGGGCGGCGACTTCGAGGGCTTCCCTGGGAGCGGGTCGGGCGGCGCACACGGGAATATTCCCTCGCCGTTCATGCCGGGCTCGTCGCAGGGCGACTCCAGCCACTCCGGTCCATCGAAGTCGGGGCGCGGCGACCAGCCCGAGTTTCAAGCCGACGTGGACGACGAGGACGCGGATTTTGGGGGCGACTTCTATGCGAAACGCGCTACCGGGAATGGCTCGGATCGAGGCTCGGACTCGCGCTCGCGCACGAGCGCGTCGCTGTCGAACAGCGGCGACCCGGCGAGGATGTACAATCACCATTACACTTCCCAATGCCAATCGTCTCCTCTCGCTCAGGAAGAGTTCGTTCATCCTGGCCACGAGCCGCTACCGAAGAAGAAGAAAAAGAAGTCGAAGTCCTCCTCTGCGAGAGACTCTGCATCCGCATCGTCGACCTCCCAGTCCCAGTCTCTGCCCTCACCTATAAACTCAAACTTCTCCGAGTCTCACCCTGAGATCGCGGCGCCGTCGCCTATGCTAGCACCTGGTGAAAACCGTGGGGGATTTCCCAGCGCTGGGTTTGGTGTAGGCCCCGGCGGCATGAGGCGCAAAACCAGCGACATGGGTGTCTTCCTGGCGCGTAGAGGGGACGAGTGATGAGTGGATGATACCCAGAATACCCCTCCAGTACAAGCTACTCTGCCACCTGTGTCTTGGATTACTGAGAACGGTCGGAACAATTGTTTTGTACCCTAGATGTTTTGGCTTGATGTACTCTACATGTATGCGCGTTTAATTGTGTTTTGGATATGTTATGGTCGCTGGCACTTTCATTTCATCGGATTATTTGTACAGAGGGCGGTAAAATAGCAATGAGATAGCTATGGAACAGCTTTACAAATTACAACCGAGCAGCAAAACAGAGCCTAAATTGACAGGCAACATGGCACGATGTTACGCGTCGCCATGATCAGGAAGCTCTCCCGGTCTTTGCGACGCGTTCTGGTGCTATATAGCATACGTCAGGATGGGTGATGGTATATGAGACGAATCGCACCTGTCTGAGTTTCGCTAGATGGATCTTTAACGTCTGGGCGTAGTTCTCGAATCCGAGGGTGATCATGGCGTAGAGGATGTCCTCTCCGCCTATCGTCTTGCGCTTCTCCATCGCACACTTCTCCGCAGCCTCGGAGGTGATGAAGCTGATGAACTCTGACACGCACTCTTGCACGCACTCCTTGGCTTCCTTCGCAATCTTGGCCGTCGGCGGCACGGAGGACTTCATTATCCGCGCGACGTTGGCAATCTAGCATCGTTTCGAGGCTGACGATCTATAAATCTATGGGTACAGGGAGCTGAGACCTACTGGCAGAAAACGGTCCTGTTCGCGATACTCCCCAATGTCTTGCTCGGTAATGGGGGCCGGCTCAGGCGGTTCCTGCACCTGCGCACCCTCACCACCGTCGTCGTTCGGTGCGATATTCGGCGGAAATTCAGACATGCTGTTATTGTCGTCGTCCGCGTCGTCGTCGTGTGCTGCCCAAGTGGAGGAGACGCTGCGAAGCATAGCATGTGTTTGTCAGCGATGGCCCCCGCGTAGAGCGAAGCAGCAACACAAGACAAATACCTGGTTCGCTATAAGAAACATGGCGGCGGAGAAAGGATATTCAGACATCGAAAGACGGACATTGTACAGGAAGCGGTACCGGTACTGCAACGCAGAGCCAATCCCCTTGCGATGGGGTTTCGTCCAATGAGCGGAGAGCCTGAGAAGGCTGTAACCGCCAGCCGGGGACGTCCGCTGCCTTTTCTGACCGTTACGGCACTTGTGAAGCGCGCATATAGCCATTCTCGACGCGATGGCGGGCAATTATAACACGAGGCACGCTCGCATTTACTTGCTGTATTTTTGTTTATTTTCTGTTGGGCAACATGGAAGACGTTCAAGGCCGTCGTCAAACATCGGAAGACACTGGCCTTTCGGACGATCCTAGAACCCAGATTGTGGAGGAGTACGCGCAAGTATGGGAGGAATTTTACAGATGGGAGCCCGACATGTGTCGGCAAGTTCTTTTGTCTTTCAGTCGGGAACCTCAGCAGGTTGTGGATGAGCCAGAAAGCGTTGGGCTTGGGCAAGTCGGTGATCAGGAATCTGAGGCTGAGAGCGACCTATCCTTCACTTGCTGGAAGCCTGACGGGAGTACGTCCTTCATAAACTTCGAAGAAATAATGGCCAAACCGTTTGCGGCTCATCCACCCTACGAGGCGTGTACGCCCGTTTCTCGCAACATCTACTACAGAGATGGAGACGTGGATGACACGGCGCAGTGCCAGTTCATCCCATATGCAGATGACCCCGCGTTCAACGCGGTTACCTACCTGACTTTCTTTCCTGACCTTGCCTGGCAGACAGCAGACGGTCTGCAGGAGCCTGACAGTGTGTAAATTCCCCTACCTTCCGGCTTGCATTGAATATATGCTATGCAGTTGATGCCATCCAGCTGGAGACACTGCGGCGTTTGCACCTTGGCCCCTTGGGCATGCCATTGGAGGAGATCGACAGCCACGACATACTGCCTCGTGCCGTGCCCGACTTGACCATCGGGCTGTATGCCGGTATGCTATGGGCGGCGACGCACAGGTAGGGCTGTCCGTCTCCGTCTGCTGGTAATTCCGATCCCAGTTTCCTCCCAGAGACCCCCTACCATGGCCCGGCGCCTCACTATCCACGCTGGGTTCGCTAGCGACCGGGGCGTGGAAGAGGGAATGCGCCGAAGACGATACGTTGGCGAGGGCCGATTCCGTTCTGACGCATTTCTGCCCCAATCTCAATTGCATTGAGCCGCACTGCCATACGCACAGTATATGTCGTCTCTCAATGCGGGATTACTGTCGTTCATGCTTGCTTATCTATGACAGCGTTTCCTTACCCGCCTTTGATACCTAAGAAAGCGACCGTAAACAGCACCGGCATGCGCCTAAGCGCTTCTCAAACGTGCGGCGGTGACTGCTTTACACATATCACGGATTATGAGATCTTCAAAGTATGTCTATATGGATTCTGTGCAGATATCGTAGTGTAAGTGGTCTCATAAATAGGAATCAGTAATATGGGAGGACGACGATATCAGAACCCTCCGCGATATCCTCGCCATCACACCCGATTCGAAGCCCTGCGATCTGGCGGTCCTATGTCGCAAGCCATGTAACGAAGTATGCTCAAGTTCTCTTCCGTACGACTGGTGTATGCGCGAGTGAAATGACTTGCTGCTAGGTCTTTGCACAGCGATGTGCTATCCTGCCAGATGAGACTATCTACGACTTTCCCGGAAGAGACTTCCAACTGGAACAACAGGAGGAAACAGACCCGATCGTCTTCGGTAAGCCCCATGCAACTTGCACGGGGTGACGCTGCTTAGACGTGATATAGACGATGACATGGGCGAGGAAGAGGACAAGATGTAAGCTCCTTCTGGAATGACCGCTTTGATGGATATGGCGTCTAATAGGACATACAGCGCAAGCATCCCTCCCTGCTCTCACGAAGGGCCCTGCGATAAGAGGTCCAAGTGCGGGTGCTTTCAGTGGTCTATGCATTGCCAGCGCGGATGCCGCTGCGACCTCGACTGTGAGTGTCGGGATCATCATCAGAAGTCGTGTCTGGTAATCTGACGAAGCGGTGGTGATGTAGGTCTGCGAAGGTTCACTGGGTGCAGCTGTGCCACTACAAAGGGCCAGAAATGCGGGACTGCTGTCTGCCCGTGCTTTCTCCTACAGAGAGAATGTGATCCTGAGTTGTGTATGCCCTGTTTTTCAGACAAGTGAGCCACAATATTTACCAGTAACTCCGGAGCATCTTATTCACGATATTCGTAATCTAGAGGTAGACCTCTCCCACTGTGGGCGTAACAATCTGATACGACTTATCTACCGCGAACAGGCAAGCCAACCCACAGCTGCCAAAACAACAGGATACAATCCAGTGTTCGTGCGGTAAGCTGTAATCCGTACATGCTCCGTTCCACTCTGCGTTATACGTAATTTGCACAGAATACTCTGGCGAAGCAGGGTAGCTACGGTCTCGGCTTATTCGCCGCTGGGACGATCCAAGCGAATGAGCTGATAGGAGGTATCTTTTATGCTCTGGTCCGCAGTCCGACAACAAGCTTCTCACCATGTTATGGGCAGAGTACAACGGTGATATTCTCTGGCAGACGCACGCGCATCACAGAGTGTAAGGAGCACATACTGATTACTTGCGCGTCAAACTCATGCATACGATCCTGGTTGGTAGACAAATCCAGAACTACCGCCACCTGAATTACTGGTTCACGTTGAACGAGACGGTGGACCGCTCCGTGAAGCACATCGTCGACGCCATGCGTGCTGGTAATCCTACGATGTATATCAACCATGCGCTGGGGATGGCGCAGAACGTCGTTTCCAAAGGTGCGAAATCCAGCACTCGGATCTAACCCAATGGCTCCGCTCATCAGGGCCGGCAGTCATCGACGTCAATTCGGAACACAGGATAGGATTATTTGCAGGTGAGCACTACAATTGACCTGTGTCCATACAGATCCTCGCTTACGGTGACCTCGTTTCCAGCGAAGAAGATTCCGGTTGGGAAGGAGCTCTTGCTTGACTACGGACCTAACTACTTCCGACTGGATGACGATGATAGTGCAGGTAGGATCGCTGCAGACTTCACATATTCGATCTGACGTGTGCTGACTCCAAGACAACATTCCCGAAGATCCAGGCAATTTGTCGAGCCCACCGTCACATAAGTAGGGACCTGGCGGACTTTATGGTCATCGTGACAGGCCGTCATAAAGATACAATTGATATACACCATCCATGAAAATATGCACGTAGCTTTGGGTATCCCTCTACGGTTCCGAGATTGCCACTAGGACCCTCCCTAGGAGTAGAAACTCCTTATCTGATTTTCCACCTCTTCGGCGGACATTTTGATATCTGTATTGCATAGAAATAGATCAGTAAGACATGCGCACTGGTTGCTTGTGTTCCTCACATTTGGACGGGTCTGCAAATACCAATGGTAATCAATTAGGCTCAGTGTCACACGGGCCAAATGGAAAACTTACTCTTGCTGAACTCTTTCTCGCGATTTCTCTGCGTGAACCGCTGCAGCGACGGCACCACGAGCTTGACAACCTCTTCGCACAACTGCTCCCTGACATCCCGATCTTCTTCCAATACCTTCGCCATTCGATGCCGCTCCTTCACCTCCTCGAATAGATCGAAGAACCGTGTGAACCTTTCCTTCGTCGCCGCCTTCCCACCACTGCTTCCCTTCTCCTCCGCTAATGCCTGCAGTAAGGGTGAGAAATTGAGGTCAAAGTACGCCGCTTTTGCAGTCCGGAAGTTCGAGTTCAGGATCTCCGTCGTCGGCTTCGACAATAGCGACCGAATGTCGACGTCGGACTCGAGGAGCCGCGTGCGCAGGTACGATATGTTGTTAAGCAGAAAAATGGACCCGAATGCGGGTCGCTTCTGAGTACGCGATAGCGTGGTGAGGCTACTCACTACGGTGTTCACCACGTCGTCTGCGGTCGCAGAATGAGAGTTGAGGGTTGATAGACACAAAGGAGGGACTTACAGGTGAAGTGCTCAAGGATAATCTGCTGATCACCGTCCCCGAGTTTCGACCCCTTGCCGACTGCCATCCCATCGCCCATCTTCCAATTCCCGTCCCCAAGAGTAAGGAGAGCAGATCCTACTGCATCTCTGACGTCCGGGATTCTCTCCATATACTGCACCGTCTATGGACCCGAGAGTTATGCGAAAGCCCCCGTCCGAACTGGGCGAAGGCTACTCACGGATATCGTAAAGTCCGCTAGCCCAGTACTGAGCTCTCCACCCTTGCCAGGGCCCAGACCGGCGCTCTTGATGTCGACAATAAACTCCGGGAAGCTCCTCAAGCAGACAGCCCTGAGGGAGTGCATCCCCTCCCGGAAGTCATTATCCTTGTCCTTCCTCCCAGCCCGCCGTATCAGGATATCGTCCCACCGCGACTGCGACGCAAGCAAGGCAGCGTATGAAGACAGAGCAAGGAACGTGTACTTGTGGAGCGAACGTTTGATCAGAGAGGTGAGGGAGGAGAGCGTCGAACTGAATAAGCCCAAAACGGGCGTTAGGAGGGTGTTGTATGTAGACGAGAGCAGTGATGAAGAGGGGAGGGGAGCTAGGTCGTTTAGTAATTGATATTCTTCCTGTAAACTGATCGGTTGACGGTTTGGAGTGAAATCTTACGAGGGTACGGACCTCAGCTACGTTCAATATACTGTCCACCCATTTCCCAAACTCCTTTCCCGCAACCACACCATCGACTGTCTCCGCTCTCTCCACTATCCATCTTGCCTGGCTCTCGAGGCACTTCTTGATCCAGTTACCGCGCATGTCTGCATACCCGCGCTGTGCCTCCTTCAGGGTCGTCAGGATCGCGGGCGCCGCTGGATGCGATGGATACGTCGCCGGGACAGGGAGCGTGCGTAGGAAGGCGACGAGCGGAGTGAGGGTGGGCAAGAGTTCAGGAGGGAAAGGGGAGGACGTGATGTCGATCCCGGTCGGCGGCGTCCCGGACGAGCCTTCGGCCACGAGCTTCGTGTATAACTGTGCGAGCTTCTTCGCACCAGTTTCCACTAGACGTGCCTACGAAGTGTCAAAGATGTACCCGAGTGGAGGGTGGGGAGATAGACGCACGGTATCCCGAGAGTCGCGATCGGACGCCTTGAACGCAATACTTGCATTGAGCCGCTCTAGTGCTTCCTTGTATACCCCCAATTGTGACGGCTGAGGACTGCAAGCTATCCTTAGAAGCTGACCGACCCCCAGAAGAGACAAAATTCACCCTCGCAAAATCAGAGCCTCTTCTGCCGCTATCCCCTCCTGGTTGCTGGCGACTTCATCTATCTTCTGCAGGGCACTTTCAATGTCTAGTCTATCATTCAAGTATCGATGTTTGTCAGACAGTGGTTCACTTACTCGTAGCACGTTTCGTTAATAGCTGTGTGGAATTGTACAGAGGAAGAATGGACTTCTCCAGCTTCACAAGGCGGGTGTCAAAACTGCTTAGAATTGCTAAGACCGTTGGCCACGCTAGTTCCGATACCGTTGAATACTAATAAGCCTACATGTCATGCGCTGCGAGATTTCTCGAGTTTTATTAAGGTTCTGTTCGAGCTTCGAGAGCGTCAATCCGACGTCTGAGGGCTACCGATGCGTGCGGCATACCAGCTCAATTTCGGCAGCTTCATCATCCATATCGAATATTTCACAAGGTGCAGAGCGGAGGTCGGGATGGTAGGTCGGTTTGAGTCAGTACGCGTCTGCGCGCCTGTGGTAGACGCCTGTTTCCGGGGAAGGGCTTTAGGGGGGACTTCCCACGCTAGGAGGGGACGTAGATATATGACTAGGAATCCCGAACACATCGGATGCGTGATGGGCAAATCTGGTCGCGGCTGCGAGGCAGTCTCGAGATAAAGCTTCGGCGGAGCTCGACAAAGAAGATGAGGCTGTGGATTGCATCCATGCAGGTACTTACGAAATTTGGGGGCGTGCAGAGGATCTCGGGGCACGACCCACGGTAGGCATACGCAATATAAAAGGACCACAGCAAGAAGGTCCCCTGCACGTATTTCACTCACCCACCATGTTGACCACCAAGCAGCCCTACATCGTTCGTACCAACGACACTCCCACCCAGCGCGGGGGACATCCTTTCGACCCTGAAGTCCACCGCGAACAGATACGCTTGGGCGACATCACCGGTTTGACGAAGACAGCCGTGCATCTCGTCCACCTGCCTCCCCATAAGGAGAGCACCGTCCTACACTGGCATGCCAACGATGACGAATGGGTTTACGTCATTAGCGCAGGAGAGGGAGCCGTGATGCGAATTAAAGAGGGGGATGCGGAGACCAAGGACGTGCCTATCAACGGAGGGGATTTCTTTGCGTTCCCCGCAGGCTTGCGGAGGTCGCACTCGATGAACGCTGGTGCGGGCGAGGTGGTATATTTGATGGGAGGGAGCAGGGAGAAGATGGACGTCTGTTACTACTCCGAGAAGAAGATCACGGCGATCGTTGACAGGACGGTACCTGAAGGGTTAAACTTCTGGGCGGTAAAAGAGGATGACATCTTGAGATAGGGTAGACAGAGGATCAGGGACTATTGGTCAGGCTCCTTGTCCATGTACTGTAGATGAATACGAAAGAGGCAGCGGCACGAAATGCTGACAGTCAACTGTCGAAAAATAGCGGGCCATAGTCCAGTAACAACTCCGTTCTAGGTGGGAGAAATTCCGCTGTGATTCCTAACTTAACATCTCATGATGACGATGGGCCCTGAATACACTCACTAGCGTAAATGCCGATCCTATGTTCCCCATTAACCAAAAGCCCTGCTAAGGGCATCAATACCAATGTAATAAGCAAGCTGTTACTGAACGTACGCGGCGCTTTGCAGTTCGCATGTGTTGCCGAATGGTTGATGTAGCGTGTCTCATTGCCCACATACGAACTATCCAAGGACTCCTCGCCGAGCCCGTACACATAATTTCTTCCGCGGTGCTCGGCTATATCGCTAGCATGGTAGAGGTCAGTCAGAATATTCTAAGCCATAAACAGATTGACTTCTACACACGCTCGACTCTCAGCGGTGGGTTCAAAGATGATCTCGCCGATATATTCTGAATCAGAAGCAGGGTGGGTGTCGCACTAAGATGTTGCCGCATAAGACGGTACTAAGACGGTACATACCACCGATCAAATCACCGCACTTGGCGGGTTCCATTAGAAATGCACCTAAGCCGTAGCCAGATCGGCTCGCCTTGACCGTGAGGCGTTTCCGACGACCTTGCTGAATCTGCGCGTTCTGGCATATGTTCTTGCTCACATCTGAGGTTCACACACCATCATCCCCAAATCTTCACCACCGAGGTCAACAAACGCACCTCTTAGTTACATAAAACTCGCCGTCAGTCATGACTTTCACATGAGTCACCTTGAGTTCACCTACTTAGCTTCGCATTTGACGCACAATTCAGGGTCGCACTCTCGCCCTTCACGGATGCATGGGCACGATCCTAGCGTGGTGATGGTGGAGCAGGAGCCCCCGCGCGATGCGCACTTGCATCCGGACCATCGCAATTCACCTGAGAAGCGGGCAGTCTATTAGCAACTTCAAACTCATCATAGGATATGGCATTTGACAACATTCTGGAGGACACCTGCAGTTGCGATCGCAGTATCTCTTACTCAAAGCGCAGATGCAATGCTTCACGTTGGAGCCATTAGACGCCTTGATATATTCCGTGCATGATCCGGCATGAAGGCAGGTGACAGGTCTGAGGCGACCATTGTAAATGATGAGTCCACAAAGTTATCTGTGACTTACGGCGCACTATTGCCTTCGGATTGACTTGATGGCCCCCCAAGAGGAGAGGACAATGGCGGTTTGCGTATGACTGACGGCTCTTCTTCTGCATAAAACCCCAGGTTGGCCAGTCTCGTGGCCGATATTTTTTTGTCAGGCAGGAAGCTTTGACGCTGCAAGAAGACTATAATGAAGGTTCAGCCAAGGAATCATAGCTGAAGATCCAAGAATAATTGCCTTCTGAGCAAGGCTTTCGACATATAACCGCGATGTCGCACGGCAAGGAGTCAGGTGTAAGCCGGAGTATGGCAGTCAGATCGTTCAGGCTGCTTTCATCCCAAACGACGGACACCTGAACAACGTTAGTAATCAGACAACCAGGAGACACTGGATGGTTTACTGGGGAGGAATCGGTCAAATTTAGGTAGCAATCTTGCCCGCAAGCTTTTGTTGTTCGTGCTTGCAGGTCGGCGTTCAGTATTTGCGGAACTATGTCAGGGGGCATGGTATAATTCTCCGCTAAGGCCACGATATCAGAATTGTAGTCTCTATGCCCGAAACAACGCACTGCTATGATGGGTCGGGCAACAAGGCTCGATACAATTCAAATTTGGGCAGAAATATCCCAATGTGCTTGAAATGCGACTATAAAGCTCCTCGAAGCCCGGTACGTTCGCGAAGAGCTGCTTGCACGAAGTTAGATCGAATATCCCGTCTGTGTAGTCGCTGAAAGGAGTTAGGAGGTGATTCAGATCGTATAGCAAGTGCCTACCCAAACAAGCCGGTCTGCAGCACTCCGCGTCTTCCAGGGGTACTCAGTAGAGGGATCGGTAATGCGTCTGTAAAGTCAATCTGTCCAGCTGATAGATTATATTCTTGATGTAATCTCTTGGCTGTCGCAAGCACGATCACATATACTAGAAGCAGAATTTTACTAAACTTGACTTTGCCATTTGTAGGTACGCATACAATCAGGGTCAACCTGATCTTGCCAGGATAAGGTAGCGTAGCACTCTTGATGAGCCACAGCATTGAAAGATGGGTCGTCAGGGAAGGGCAAGAAAGCCATGTCGTCTGGATCATCTCCCTGAAATATATTTCTAGAAGACGGGGTCGTGGATTCGTATGGCGCATAGGCAGCTTGAGAACTCGCTGCCGCTACCCAGTTCTCCACTGGCAGAGTTGACCTCGTCCTTGTCCCGGGTGTACTGGGATCACCGTCGCGGTACTCACACACTTCAAAAGCACAGTCTTGATTCGAAGTATACATGGTGTCTCCTGTGTTCTTGTCGAAAGCAGCTGCATCGCGCATAGGATGGGAGGTCCGACGTGCTGGAAGAACGACTCTTGAGTGAGACTCGGCAAGGACTCTGCGTTCCAACCCCTTCAAGACGCGTTTGCGTGCGACCTTTTCCCGGGAGTAAAATTCGTCCCAGACAGTTCGGAACATAGATGCCACCAAATCAGAAGTATCCATCCCGAACAGCCACGTATCCAGGAATTACTAGGCGCATTAAAGACATAAGGGTCCAGTGGCCGTCGGTGCTGGTCTGATTCGTCAGATTGGGTGCCAGTGGCCAACAATAGAACGCGTGACGCGAGACGCGACGCGTCCAACTGGAACTTGAAGACGCGCGTTCTACCGCGACGCCCTCGATGTCGGACAACGTTTCCTTGCAAAGTCAGATTAACAGTCTCGATATCGAGATACGAGATGCGGAAGAAAACATCAAGAAGTATCAAGATTTGCGAGATTCCCTGGTCTCCCAGAAACAGGCGTATATTCAGCAGCTGCACCAACGACGCGTTTCTAGGACGAACACAAGTTTGCCGGGCAAAGGAGGCATCGATTACATGTCTGCAAACTTTGAGTGGACCCATGAGCTCAAGACTCGGATGGCAAAAATCTTTGGTATAGAGAACTTTCGTTTGTGTCAACAAGGGTAGGTCGCATTGCTTGATTTCGGCTATCCACGCATATAATCACCTTCCAGCGTGTGCAATGCCAACATGGATGGACGCGACATAGTCTGCGTGATGCCAACAGGTTTGTTTTAGCTCTCAGTCCAGCCTAGACACGGGCTTGAATCACCATGATTAGGCGGCGGAAAGTCGCTGACGTACCAGCTACCGGCGCTCTTGACGCCAGGGTGCACCTTGGTTATATCTCCTCTCATATCGCTCATTCAGGACCAAATTATGCATCTCCAAGAAGTCGGCGGTACGTACATGCCCACATCATCTATCTGCTCAGTATTGAACAACATCATGAAGTTGAGGCAGCTATGGTCACCGGGGCTGTATCTAAGCAAGAGACAGACCGGATCTATGCTCGGCTAACTTCAGCAACGAGCTCATCTGCGGACGGTAGGCAATATAAGGAAATCAAGCTACTCTATGTCACAGTGAGTGCATTCTTCGAGCAGATCGTAGGGACAGTGGTCGACGTGGCCGCGTTGTAGCCTGAGAAGATTTCCAAGAGCAAACTGTTCAAGTCGAAATTGAACAAGCTGTACGAGGCTGGCAGGCTTGGTATACACACATTTAGAGCTAATTGTGTAGACCGTCCTGACCTATCCTCAGCTCGTATCGTCATTGACGAGGCGCACTGCGTCTCGCAATTGGGCCATGACTTCAGGTTCGGTATACGTTCCTTCATTATACATTCAATCTCACCCACCATTCACAGACCGGACTACCAGCAGCTAGCTATCTTGCGACAGCTTTTCCCCAGTGTGCCGATTCTCGCACTGTCTGCGACATGTCCACCTAAGGTACTCGAGGACCTCTTGAAGACACTCCGCATGAAAGCGGTGGTAGACGGTCGATGTAGGTCGTAGGCCCATCATTCTCTCGTTGCTTAACTCGGTCCCCGTAGGTGCACCCCCTGAGGGCACGATCTACTTTACTTCTTCACTTTACAGAAAGAATCTGCACTACAAGGTCGTTGCCAAACCTTCGTCAGCACAAGCCGTGATCAAGGCCATGGCGGACTATATCCTAAGCAAGCACCTGAAAGAGAGCGGAATCATCTACTGCCTTAGTCAAAAGGTTTGTCTATTTATGGAAGGACTGATTAGGACTCACAAGGTCGCCATCAGGATTCGATGACCGTAGCCAAGGACCTGTATGAAGCTAGTGGGTACAAAATAAAGACCGGTGTCTATCATGCCGGTATCCCCGACGCGGACAAGGAAACCTTGCACAGGCGGTGGCGGAACGGCGAAATTCAGGTTGTCTGCGCTACAATCGGTCACCCTCTTAATTCTTCCATTTGCTCCTTTATTTATGCTGCTTCCATTTAGCTTTCGGGCTAGGCATCGATAAGGGCGACGTCCGATTTGTATTGCACCACTCTGTAAGCTCCCTATTCTGTCTTGAACGGTCATGCTTTTCAATGCTCATGCACTCATAGATGTCGGTCTGTATTTCTCCGAAATGACTAGTGGACTGTGTCCTCGCTTCGTAGTCATATTGACATGCTCTCCGCAGAAATCCGTGGAGGGCTTCTACCAGGAGTCTGGGCGAGCAGGCCGAGATGGCAAAGACTCTGACTGCGTGCTCTATTACCGTCCGCAGGATGCATCGCGACTCAGCGGCATAGCTTGCGAAGAGAAGGAAGGGCCATCGAAACGTAAGGCCCTAAGCCATGACGCATTGTCTGGCCGTCACCACTGATGCACCTGGTCGCTCCTTCCAGTATTTGATATGCTTAGGTTCGTCCATGACCTGAAACAGTGTAGGAAGATACAATTTGCCAAGTGCGTTGCGGCATGTCCATGCATCCTTTTCGCTTGCTTACTGCTGCTTCGGTAGCTATTTCTCTATGTCGTCTCACGTGTCCTTGTCATCGTGGGCTACGGAGGGCGAGGACGCCCTGAAGCGCTGCGGACACTGCGACAATTGTTTGCGGGATCCGCAAAATGTGGAAAGCAAGGACGTTACCCTCGAGGCGTGGCAAATTCTTCGGGTAGCCGAGGAGATCAAGAAAGGCAGAGGCCTGGAAACCCTGGCTAAGCTTTCCGATTTTGTCAGAGGCGCAGGCGGTGGTGGATTTCAGGTCAAAGGTGCCGGGTCAAAGCGGAAAGGTAAAGGCAAGGCGACAGAGAAGACTGGACTAGATATCGAAGACATTGCCGGAGGGAAGGTTAATCTGTCTAAGGAGGTAAATACGTATGGTGTTCCTGGAAGAGCCGGTACTGAACCCGTCGTTTATAGAATACCGAACGTCTCCTGGTCGAGCTCCTATTGTCCAAAGACCTTCAACAGGAATACAAGATAAATGCCTATGCTACGAACGTTTACGTATGTCCCGGACCAAAAGCAATCACTTTGACGAGATGGACCCGAGAGCAAGTCCAAAGTCAGACCCAGCGTCGGGTTAAATGTGACTTCCTGCAGAACAAATCCGGACGAAAGAGCAACGCCGGGAAGAAAGCCAATACCTCAGCCATTAAAGTCGCCGACAAGCCGCCGAGGACTTCCAACAGCAAAAGGAAGAAAGCTGTGCCGAGTTCTGACTGTGAAACAGACGAGGACGAAGAAGAAGATCTACTGCACAGCCCAAACGTACTGGATAGTCCCTCTTCAGACCCCGTCATTCTTGACAGCGAGACTGAGGACAGCTGGGCCTTCTCGTTCAGGGAGTCGCAGCCGCCTCGGAAGAAACCAAGGAGGAGTAATGTATCTGCTTCCAGCTCGGCGAAGAAAGCACCCGACAGTGATGATGATGTTATCTGTTTACTGTCAGACTAATGAGTTGGACCTACTAGTAACCGGTACTAGGGACATATACTAAATGTGATACTCTTTGTATATTAGCAGTCTGCGGGGATGGAATAGGATAACCCGAGAGCACGCTCGCTGCCTGTCCTTAGCTTTCATACCGTTAGAAATAGATATCATATCGTTGCACGCTTCAGTGCAGAACGCGCAGGGACTTTCGGCACTAAGCGGTGTTGCATGTCAATACGGACGCCTTGCTCGTTCATCCAGCCCTGTCCAGCCTCCGGGTAACCGTCAAGGTCAGGAGGGTACTGTTCCTCAACTGGAGGGGACCTGAACTTCCCATCATTTGTCCACAGCTGATCGCTAAAATGAAGTAAAATGAAGGCTCAGAGACTGTCCTTCGTTCTGGCGTAGCTCGATAAGGATCCACTTACCCGCGGCGGTTAAACCAACCTTGTCTCCTCTGACTTGGTAGGATCGGCGAGGGACAAATAAGGTTCTCATCCCATCGGACGCTCCTAATGGTTTGTATACTGTTCGAGGACGTCTGACGAGACGAAGTAGAGTCCTGGGGCGGGCTTGTACCCGTAGCCACACGTCCAGCGCCCATGTCTGAGTTCCTGCGAGGGCGTGACGGCAAGACATCTTGATCGGTACGTCGAGAGATAGGCATAGAATTCGCAGGCACTGCTACGGATGCCGACCCAACCACCTCAGCTGGAAAGCTGAGGGTTACCGACGGTCCCAAACCCGGAGGGTCGTGCCGGTAATGCCTCGCTGCATAGTCTATCGAGTCCAACCGCGGTCGCACTCCAGATGGGCCGGGGTGAGTGGCACCTTGCTGGGGCGGGTGCGGGTGCGGGTGCTGATATTGGGCATCGGCGTGACTGCCCTGGCGCTGAGGGGACATACGGTCGGTTTCCAGACGAAGCGCAGGCCGGTCGGCCGACGCTCGCCTCTGAGGCCCTGGAATTGGCTGGTCCCTGCTCATCCTCCGGGGACGAGGACCAGATGATGAACCAGGACGTGCAACATGAACTTCGTCCGCGTCCCCTGTGGTAGGGAATACAAAAGAGGAGGAGGCAGGGGGTGACATCCTCGTGGGACGTGAGGGGTCCCTGCCTCGATCCGGAGACACTTCGCGCGAAGCAGGGTACCGCGGATCTGAATGAGACGAGAAATAAATGGGAGCACGATGATGGACGGCACCTGATGTTTGCGGCGGATGCAGGACAGCGGGAGGAGGTCGGGTGGGGGGAGGTGCTAGAGGCGCCGACATCACGATCGGCTTAGGCGCGGGCACAGTTACCGATGATGCCCGTGGTCGCATCAAGGGCGAGGGAGACGGAGGTGAGGAGGTGGTGCTGGTGGCGTCGGACAACGTGTCCGTTACATCCACCGGGATATTGATATTAGCGGTTATGTCGAATATGGAACCTGTCTCACATCTAAGCGAGTCGTAGCTCTCCGAAATATCGAGTTTGGGAGCGAGAGGGCGTTGGTAGACGTATTCATCGACATTAGATGGATGGGGAAGTGCCTGGCCGCTGGGTGCTTTGATCTGCTTGGTGTCGATAGGTCCTGCCGTTCGATCGTAGCTTTGCACGGAATCGCCGTGGCGGCTGTACGAGAGCTCTAGCTTCGCCGCTGCTGCTGTAGGGGTCGGGTTGGCTGTCGTGCTGCTGGAGAAAAAGGTAGCCAGCCCTCTTGACGTTTGCTATACGATACCTTTAGCGTTACGCTGGGATACTGTGGCCAAGTACAAACCTTAGCAGCAGCTCGTCCTCGCGAACCAAAGCCAAGTGAGGACAGCATCGTGGTAGTAAAGGATCCAAGACCTGAAGCTCACGGGGTAGGAGGTAGGTCGGTTATAAGGAACTACACGCCCCCTCGAACCTCGGAAGAATGCCCATGTCATGCCCCTACCACGACGCATTTGGCCGTGCATGACATGCACGTTCTCCCAACGAGTCCAGGCGGGAGAGCTTCGAGCGATCATTTCATAACACATGTGAAACTGTAGAATAAGTCCGACCAGCAGAGTCGTGGATCTTGGGTTGGCGTCATTATTGATCCGCACCACAGAGCACCCAGTGCAGGCTGGTTGTTGAATACGGTGAAGAGCCTAACGCAAGCATTATCCGACGCAACCTTTCGTGATTCATGACAATCCGGTGTCTGTCTCGTCCATCTAGCGGTTCCTGGAATAAGCGATCAGTTCCTTCGTTCTGTGCAGAGCATAGTCATCTAGATAGCATTATAAGCTGTCAAACTGTTCGAAAGAGGAGGGCAGAGGACGTGACGAATCGTCACACACGGCAAGAGTTCGCGTGTATGTCACATCACATTTGTTCGTACATTGGGACCTCTTCGTCGGCGGGCTGAAGGCGAGGGGCAGACTTTTGGACCAAAGAAATATCAGCTTTGTCGGTCGAATCACTACAATGCAAGCTTTGCGTCAAGAGATTCTGCCCGCAAGCGGGGTAGAGTTTACGACTAGCCTCCGTCTCACCCCTTCGACACTTTATGGCGACGTCCTTCCGACCCCGCCCAATGCCACAGCTCGCCAGGAATTCGCGGCTCGAGCGCTCTGCAATGTCGTCGTGGCGCGCTCAAACATCCTGCGTATTTTTGAAGTGAGAGAGGAGCCGGTGCCTATCCCGGATAACATAGAAGATGAACGGGAGAAAAGAGGGCGCGTTCGGCGAGGGACAGAGGCAGTGGAGGGAGAAGTCGAGATGGACGAGCAGGGGGAGGGATTCGTGAATATGGGCGCAGCAAAGGTGATTTCGCGTACTTTCTTCGATGTCATTACACAGCTCTTTCTATGCGAGTCGTTTCGAAAAACCTCCCGAGTTCGAAATGTGAGCACCGACCCTAACCAGAGTTGTCTCCCAGCCTGCTGGTCAGAATGATAGCGCGTACGCCAATACTCGTACGCGCCTGTACCTGATCCGTGAACACCGCCTACATGGCACGGTCACAGGCATGGAGTCCGTCAAAATAATGTCCACACTAGAAGATAAGCTGGACAGACTACTGGTTTCCTTCAAAGACGCGAAGGTTTGTTACGGCCACTTCGCATGCTTACACGGCTGACAACTCACACAAGATTGCCTTGCTGGAATGGTCGACAGCCGTCCAGGATCTCATAACTGTGTCAATCCACACATATGAGCGTGCGCCACAGTTGGTACGCTAACACGTTTCAACGCTGCCCTCGTAAATTAATTCCGGTGTAGATGTCCCTCGATGCTCCTCTCTATCAATCACAGCTCCGCGTAGACCCGCTTTCTCGTGTTGCCGCGCTCTCGCTGCCGAACGACGCCCTCGCGATACTTCCATTCTACCAAAGCCAGGCCGAACTGGACGTGCTAGACCAGGACCAAAGCCAGATTCGGTACACCTATACTCCTACCCTGCTCTTTCTCTGAGATTAATCAACGGGTTGCAGGGACGTTCCGTATTCGCCGAGTTTCATCCTCGACTTGACAGCGGAGGTGGACGAGCGAATCCATAACGTCATAGACTATGCCTTCCTCTCAGGATTCAACAATCCGACGGTTGCCGTGCTATTCCAGCCGCAGCAGACATGGACCGGGTATACTCCAGCCTTTCTGACGGGTGGCGTGGACTGACTTATGTGCCCCAGTCGCCTCAAGGAATACAAGGACACTGTGAAGCTGTTTATCTTCACACTGGACCTGGTTACCCGGACCTATCCGGTGATCAATGCTATTGAAGGGCTTCCGTATGATTGCACTGCCTTGATAACTTGTGATGCCTCGTTGGGAGGAGTAGTCGCCCTCACTACCAACTCCATCATCTATATCGACGCCACCGCTCGCAAACTCATCCTACCGGTCAACGGCTGGGCATCGCGAGTGAGCGACTTGCCATTGCCTGCGTTGTCCCCAGAGGAGCAGGAGAGGAATCTCCAGCTGGAAGGCAGCCGGTGCATTTTTGTGGACGAACATATGATGTTTCTCGTACTGCGGGACGGTCTGGTGTATCCAATAGAATTCGTGCTGGAGGGCAAAACCGTCACGAAATTATCGATGGCTTCCGCGCTGGCTCAGACCACTATTCCGTCAACCATCAGGAAAGTCGGTAACGAGTATATCTTCGTCGCGAGTGCTGTAGGACCTTCCGCCCTTCTGAAGGCATCCAGAGTCGAAGAAATAGTCGTGGAGGATGCCCCAACTGCGCCTTCACCGGCGACTGTCGTTACTGCCGCGGATAAAATGGATGTCGACGAGGATGAAGGTGCGTGATAGTGACCTTTGACATTACTAGGAGTTCGTACGAGTGTTCTGCTAGATCTGTACGGTGAGTCTACGGGAAACGCAGCCGTCACGACAAACGGACGTGTCAATGGTTCCACCGACAACGTGAAGAAACGTTCTGTCGTCCATCTCTCACTTTGCGATACTCTCCCTGCCCATGGGCCCATATCCGACATCACATTCTCAGTAACCAAGAATGGCGTGCGTGCCATGGATAAGCATGTGTCCGGAATGATCCTCTGATGTCCTTTACCACTGTAGGATCGACCAGTATCTGAGCTAGTGGCCGCAACCGGAGTCGGTGTGCTCGGCGGCTTCACTCTCTTCCAGGTATGTCAGCAGATTTTCCTCGGAAACACTCGTCGGCTAAGTTGGAGGTTATCAGCGAGACCTACCTACTCGAGTCAAGCGCAAGCTGCATGCAATCGGTGGTGGTCGGGGCATGTGGGCGCTGCCCCTCCGTCAAACCGTCAAGATCAACGGAAGTTCATATGATAAAGCCAGAAACCAGGCGGAGAACGACACCATCATCGTTAGCACAGATGCAAACCCGTCGCCGGGCTTGTCTCGTGTGAGTGCTTTTGGTAAAGTGGCCTCCATGGCCAGGTGCTCATTTCCTGTAGATCGCTACCCGCACAGCGAAGACAGACATAACCATCACCACCAGGATACCTGGCACTACAATAGGCGCTGCACCATTTTTCGGCCGAACGGCTATTTTACATGTGATGAGCAACGCTATCCGAGTGCTCGAACCTGGTCAGTGCCACATCAAGCGTGGTTTGTGCTTCGATGCTGATTTGAATAGATGGCACTGAACGTCAGGTCATCAAAGACCTCGAAAACCAAATGAGCCGGCCCAAAATACGATTCTGTAGTATCTGTGATCCGTTTGTTCTCATCATCAGAGAAGACGATTCTTTGGGACTGTTCATCGGCGAACCGGAGCGCGGCAAGATCAGGCGCAAGGACATGTCTCCTATGGGTGAAAAGGTGGATTATACGTTTATTTGGGACTCACTGATGGAATTGACACCCCACAGACCTCTCGTTATCTAGCCGGGTGCTTCTATAGCGATGCCAGTGGTCTTTTCCGGACACAGTCACCAATTCGGTCCCGATCGCGCAGTGCCAATGCTATGGACACGCCGGCTACTACAACGCTTCAAACGATCCTGGACGCGGGCACTAAAAGTCAATGGCTGGTACTCGTGCGACCGCAGGGAGTATTGGAGGTATGCCTCTTCAAGTCGTGGAGTTTGGGCTTCGTTGTGATGAGGTTTTCAGATTTGGACCTTACCCAAGTTGACGTTGGTCTTCTCGACATCAGCTATTGCCACGCTCCAAGACGTGCTTGTAGATTCATCCGACCCACCTGCACTATCTTTGCCGCAGGATCCTCCACGCAAACCACAAGACTTGGACATAGAGCAAGTACTTATGGCACCCCTAGGGGAGTCATCGCCGAAGCCGCATCTCTTCGTCAGTTTCTCTTAGCCTTGGAGATATGGACACTCAGTCCTGAACGGCTTTTAGGTATTCCTGCGCTCCGGCATATTAACTGTTTACGAAGCGTTCCAACTGGATCAGGCGCCCGTGGAACAATCTGCAACAAGAGCCTCGTTGATGGTACAGTTCGTCAAAGTTGCTTCTCGAGCTTTCGACATTCAGCGTGCCGAAGAGACGGAGAAGACTATTTTGGCTGAGCAGAAGAAAATCCTGCGGCAGCTCATTCCATTTGTCACATCCCCCTCTTCGGGAGTAGTCTACTCGGGGGTCTTCTTCACCGGCGATCATCCGTCGTGGATCTTAGCTACCGACAAGAGCGGAGTTCGAATCCATAGCTCAGGACACAACGTTGTCCACGCTTTTACCTCGTGTTCATTATGGGAATCGAAAGGAGACTTTCTCCTCTATTCTGATGAGGTCTGTGGCATCCTTCCCTCTTATGACGTAGCTCATCTCCCTCAAGGGCCCGAGTCTGCTGGAGTGGATCCCAGGCGTGCAAATCACTTCGGAGCTGCCTTCACGATCAGTTCACAAGGGCAGAGCATATTCCAATATCGTATATGATTCTTCGACTTCACTGTTGGTTGCCGCCAGCGTCAGGCAGGCGAAGTTCACATCTTACGACGACGACGGCAATTGTCTCTGGGAGCCGGATGGTTAGTGGCTGCATATCGTATTTCCAGTTGAGCCCACAAACTGACTCCACACCCGGTGTAATTTCAGCGACAAATGTCTCATACCCTACATGTGACTGCTCGTCATTAGAATTACTTTCCCCTGAAACATGGTCTGTCATGGACGGGCAAGTGAAGCTTCTCTCATGTGTGACGCGCCCATGTCTTACGCTTCTCTAGGTATGAATTCGCTCCCAACGAATTCGTGAACACTATGGAATGTGTGGCTCTGGAAACGCTGAGCACGGAGGCGGGTACCAAAGAGTTCATTGCCGTAGGGACAACTATTGACCGTGGCGAGGACCTTGCTGTCAAGGGTGGCGTGAGCTTCACCAGCTGTTCCACCCTTCTGAAAATGCACTGAAACACATCCAGACTTATATCTTCGAAGTCGTCGAAGTCGTCCCTGATCCATCCTCTTCTTTCAAACGGTTGTACAGACTAAAGTTGCGCTGCCGAGACGACGCCAAGGGTCCGGTGACAGCAGTTTGCGGTTTGAATGGGTACCTAGTGTCGTCTATGGGCCAAAAGGTACGGGAGACTACACCTCCGTGTATCATTTTGTGCTCATGTATCCTCACCAGATCTACGTTCGAGCCCTGGACTTGGACGAGCGGCTAGTCGGAGTGGCGTTCCTAGATGTTGGCGTCTCCGTCACATCTCTACGCTCCCTCAAAAATCTGCTCTTGATAGGAGACGCGGTGAAGAGCGTATGGTTTGTGGCATTTCAGGTTAGAGCTTTCGCTCCGCTCCCCATATCGGCTTTCTTACCCTCACCTCAGGAAGATCCTTACAAGCTCGCCATCCTAGCAAAAGACATTCATCCTCACTGCGTCACCAACGTCAATTTCTTCTTCACAGATAACCAGCTGTCGATTGTGACGAGCGACGAAGATGGGATAGTGCGGATGTACGAGTACGACCCACACGGTAAGCCCAGCTCTTCTACCACACGCGAGCAATGATGACATCCTATCGAACAGATCCTGAGTCTAAGAATGGTCAAATCCTTCTGTGTCGTACGGAATTCCATGGTCAAGTCCAAACATCCACTTCTTTGGTCATAGCAAGACGGACGAAGGACGATCCTGTGATTCCTCAGTCGAAGCTTATCTATGGTCAGTGCATACTAATGACTGAGTGATAACATATGTAATAAACCTGGACCGCAGGGTCAATTGACGGATCACTCACGGCACTCGTGCCCGTTGAGGAGTCTGCGGCCAAGCGGCTGCAGCTCCTACAGGGACAACTCACGCGTAACGTCCAGCACGTTGCTGCGCTGAATCCCAGAGCCTTCCGGTGCGTATTCCACCGCGATGTCGGTCTCCACTGGTTGCTTATACTGCTGCCCAGGATTGTCCGCAACGATTACTTCTCAAAACCCCTCACGAAGGGGATACTGGACTATAACCTGCTGATGCACTTTGAGAGCCTTCCCATAGATAGGCAGAACGAGATGACCAGGCAGATCGGAACGGAGAGGACTGTCGTTCTGCGGGACTGGATGGCTGTCGGAGGGGCATGGTAGTATCACCGTGTCCAACATAACGTTTCACCACTGATATTGTTACAAATGGCTGATACTCTTACTGCGTTGAACGGGCTGCGCTAAAGTGGAAACATCCAACCCACTGCCGTTGCCACGCCACGAAATCCGGATGTTCAGACAGCCTCCGCACCTTCGGGGACTTTCAGGTCCGCGGTCGGGTCGAGGAAGTACTGGCGATATAACTCGAGCCAAGCGGGCGCTACCGGCAAGATATGCCCTGTTATCCATCCTGTTTAATGCATACACGTTTGCGAGCACTGCCAAGGCACTCACCGCCAGGGTGATGCAAGGCCTTCTTATTCGCTGAGATCTCTCTGAGGGGCTGATTCGCCTCTTCCGGCGTGATGTTATCCGTTGTGCCTTGAATATGCAGTGTCGGCGTGTGGTACGTCGAGGACAGGATGGCGTTAGCTAGAGGAGAGTCGGGCACGGAGCCGGAAAATGCTACGCAGAAGGCGCTGAGTGTATTATCTGGTCAAATCACGGATAGGTGCACTTTGGGGAGACCGGGCCGCTTACAAGGGTGGGTGGGGCGTCTGTCCTTCAGCGACGAAGGGTGGGAAAGTCTCCGGCCGCTCCAGCTGCGAGAAATGTTGGACGCGGAGGTTCGCGATACAGGTGAGGAGAGCGTACCAGGGCGGCAAGTAGGACGGCAAACGCAGAACCTTGACTGTGGTGCATGCCGTTCCTTCAGCATAGTGTCCTGGAAGCGTGTCAATGCATACCTGAACCCAACCACGCCCTGTAAATGATGCAAGAGGTGTTAATACCTCATGCCCGGCAAAAGGAATTCTGCTGATAACGGCTTCGCACCTCAAACCGGTCATTCTTCAAAATATCTCTCAGCTTCAGCAAGCTGTCTTCTAGACCGTATGTTCCACTCCTCGCAGCGTTCTGGTCATGCTTCCACCACGCCTTTGGTACGTGCGGAGGCAGGGCGAGCGGCAGCTCCGGAGGGGGCTCGAGGCCCTTCGGGATGTCGGCTTCTCCCAAGGTCTGCGTTCCGTCCACGAATACTAATATACTGCCCGGTGAGCTGGAATGGAGGTGCAGGGAGAAGGGGGACTGTGCCTAGTTCGATATTGTCTGGTCTTATCGCTTCTTGGATTGGCGCGAACTAGATTTACGTGGGTATCAATGCGGACTACTTATCTGGTCCTGGAAAGGTGTTCGTGACTTACCCACTCCTTTGTTAGTTCTGCATTCTGGAGGTATCTGCAGCGCCGCGCCCCCACTTCGTCGGTCTCCTACAGCGGAAGATGTCCAAAGGGGAGAACTGCTCACCCATGGAATACGAGGATCTTGCGAGTGCTGGACATCATATCCAATTCTACTGAGGGATCGATCACCTTTCGGCGATGTAAGTGAGAAAGCATAAAGATCCTCTGGGGGCCTTGGCTCTCACCAGGTGTACGAGACAAATCCGAGGCAGACGGGGCGACACCAACGGAGTACTATAGTAGCGTATAAGGTTGGATGAGTAATAGAGGTCTCAAATACTTTGTAAGACGGCCGGTGCCACACTCTTGATGGATTTCGGGGAGTTTGATTGGAGAGAAGCACATTCAAGCACGATAGTTCCATCATTGATCAGGCCCGATCAGCGTCATTATTGCACGATCGGGTGTTTCTTTCTAGAATTCCAATAATGATAAGCACTTACACTGATCTATGTATTCATTAGATTTCTAAGACCATGTAACGTGGGTAACCCTCGTATATCCAAGCTATCTTGCTAAAGATCAATTACCCTCTGCACTCTTTAGAGAGTCGCTGACAGCACCCGCAGGCGCCGGTATGTCGCCGGTGGGATTGAGGAAATATTCTTTGAAGAACGACCGCCAGCTCGCCTTCAGCGGGACGAAATGACCTTTCCATACCATCAGCTACAAAGCATGATAGAGCAAGTGACAAGCACTGAACACTCACCGCCGTCGTGCACCAGGACACGCTTATTTGCCGAGACGTCGATCAGGCCCTGACTCCGCTCCTCAACGACGATCACATCTCCCTTGCCGAGGATGTGTAGTGTCGGCGTGTTGTAGGAGGGTGTGAAGAGGGCATCACAGAGCGGACTCGAGGGGCGGAAGCCTGAGACGGCGACACAGTATGTGCTGGAGAGCGATGAACAGCAGGTTGGGATATGTATCGATCAGCGAGGAACGGACGGACGTACAGAGGTGGATGCGGCGGTTTCCCGTCGATTAGGAAGGGTGGGTGGAGATCGGGCTTTTCTAGCTGGGGAGTCGAGCTAAGACGAAGTATGAAGGAGGAGCGGAAGGCAACGTACCAGGGCGGAGATTATCGCAGCCATGGCGGCACCCTGACTGAATGCACTGGTCAGTACTCTCCACAGACAACAGCTCAGAATCGCCGCACACCTAAATCCAAATACGCCCTTGTCCCCAGATACGAATGTCAGCACTCTCAGCACCCACATAGATTCGCTAAACTACAGCTCACTTCGTACCGATCCCGACTCAACATATCCCTCAACAGCGCGATGCTCTCCTCTATCCCCGTCATGATCGACCGATCCGGGTTCGCGCGCCACCAGCCTCGGGGCATGAGCGACGGGTCCTCGTCCGCGGCTGCCGCTTCCGGCGCGCCCAACGCTTCGAGCGGTACGCCCCAATTGCTCGGGATGTCAGCAGGTTGCAGGACGATGGGAGCGTCTACGAAGACTGAAATGATAATGCAATGAGGATGACAGATATGCCGCGGAGGAAAGGCGGAAACACACCAAATTCGACGTTGTCTTTCGCCATGGATTTGCGCACCGCTGCCATCTAGTGGTAGCTTATGAGGAGGTCACCGGACGAATAGACTTGCGATCACGAACCCGTTTGCTGAAGATGTTCGCATTCTGGGAATACCTTCAATCGGACGCAATTAGTGCTGCAGTCGGTCTCGCCTTATTACGCTCAACATACCCATGAAGCAGAAGGATTTTCCGAGTAGCGGAAGCCATTCTAGTAGACGTCCAAGCCAGGTTCAGCGCGCACGAGGAGAGTTTTCACTGCAAAAGATAGAGTAGCCGCCGGACAATCTGCACGCCAATTTGTAGTCGATTTGTCAGATGCAGCCCGGCATCGTTTGATTCAACCTTGTGCCAGTACTGCCGACGCCGACTGAAGAGAGAAACAATCCTGCGCTTTTGTCGTCTTTTTGCATGCAAGCACCGCCGAAGACTGCTGATAGCGACGGGGGCACTCTGAATGAAATGAAGTCGGATCAGGGGCTAATTAGCGCGGCTAATTAGCGGGATCGTATTGCCACTCGTAAACTGGACCTTATAACCCAACCACTGGCACGAAATGGCTGCTCGTCTAGACGGACTTGAAGTTCTGGAGTCCACGGATGATACGGAAATTATAGACGAAAGTGCGATACAGAATCTCCGCTCATCTATCTCGCAGTTCTCCTTCTCCTTCGCGAACCCCCGCCGCTCGCCGCGCAAGCTGAGCAGACCTACGGAGTCGGATAGCAATGGCGCACACACTCTGCCAGTGACACCACGCAAGCGACGGGCAGCATTGGATGTCTCGACGGCGAGGACACCCTCGCCCAAGAAGTCTAAGAGGGGATACGCTGCTCCGGAGACGTATGCGCACCTGAATTTCCTCCAGGATTATCTGAAGGAGGAGCTTGACGGTGCGCTTTCAACTAATATATGATGTGATAAATGTGACACGTCTATCTTGGTGCACAGTAATGTTCTGTGGGATCAAGTGAGTGGCCTAGCAATCATCGGTTTCTCTGGACGTAACCCATCTTCCCCAGCCCGGGGTACATGTCCGCGGAGAAAGGCCACCACTTCGCCAACCCCACGAACCACTTTTGGAAATGCCTTCACCAGTCAGGTTCGTCTATCTGTGCTCAATACAGCCTACTCACCCATGAAGTACGGGCTGACAGGTTTCACCCCATCCTTAATCCCTCCAACTCGAGATTTCACCCTCCCTTCATCCTACAACATTGGCCTGGTCCGTTCTCTCCCTCATCTTCTGCCCCTCGTCTCCCTAACATCCAGTAGACCAATCTAGTCGACCGACCCTCAATCGAGGTACCTCTTTCCCCTTCCACCTCTCCCCAACCAACCAACTGATCCCTAACCAGCAAGCTGAGCTCTCCCCCGCCGAAATGGCCACCTCCGTCCCAGCCTTCCTGTCCAAGGTCGCGCGGTGGCGCCCTCGCATCGTGTGTTTCGTCGGGCGCGGGATCTGGCTCTGCGTCGAGAAGGCCTTGCAGCAGCCGCTCGGCACTAGCGCCCGCCCCAAACCACCGAGTAGTCCTCGCAAGAAGACGCGTAAAGGCAAGGATGAGGGGTACGGCCTGCAGCCGTACAAAGCTGTTCATACATCCGCCGACGGGGGTAAGTGGATACACCCGTGTTGCCATCGATATTTACTGACAGCATGGCTATTGAGATGAAATCAGTACGGTGAGAGAAACCCTATTCTTCGTCGTACCTAGCACGTCCGGGAGGGTCGTCAGCCATCAGGTCAGTGGCATCTTCGTCTCATCCATGACCTTCTCACCGACACATTGCTCTAGCTGCCAGATAAAGTCAGGCTGTTCACTACCCTCCACGATGTAGTTGACCAGATGAAAAGCGGCGCTCTTGACACTGACTCCATGGCTGTCGTCGAGTTACTCAAAGACGAAGAAATGCCTGAGGTCCCGCTCGACCGATTACCTTCTGCCCTGCTAGTTATGGATGACGACGTGAAGGCCGAAGAGTCGGCATAGCCGCTCGGACGTTGGCGGTATCCGTTTCGTCAGCGACCGGAGATGTGCATTTCGGAATCCGCACAGCGCTTGCAGGCTATTACCAAGATTTACTACAGCAGCAGCCATATTTTGATCTCGAATTATAGACCCTATTCATCGTCCTTGGAAACTCACATCCGTATACGAACTTCATAATGAATCACAACCGCATAATGAGCTGCTTCACAGCTGACATCCATAACCCGATGTCGTCTGTCAGGGCGCCCCGCGTGAGCAGATCCATATGAATGGTCAACGCCGCCTCTCGGTCATGGGCGGCCATGGCTAGATAGGCACAACGCAAGGTCAGTCCCGCCTTCGTACGAAGACCGAGGAAGCGTGCGCACCACTCGTAAGATCAAGAAGTTGATCCACGACAGGCCTCGACAACGTCTCGCAGTTCAGAGCGTCGAACAAACCATTGATCCGCCTGTCCAAATCATCCGCGACACGTTTTTGCTGGGGCTGCAATGAACGGTAAGCATTGGCACTTTCCACGAAGGAAACGGCCGGAAAACATACAGGCATAGTCTGTTTCAGTCTCGCCAGTTGCTCCGAGAGGACGTTGTAGATAGGCCTCGCCGTATCTGGGATATGACTACGGTCACCCGGAGCTACAGTCACAAGTTAGAAGACCGTCCTCACGGCTGAATCGCATAGTTTGACTCACGATACTTGGGCCCCGCAGGTTCCTTCTTTGCAGGCGGTGCTGGCGAACGGACGCCAGGTGGACCTTGGGGAGCAGAAGGACCTGAAGGCGGAGGGCCAGCGTGTGGAGGACCAGGGTGTGGAGGACCAGCGGGTGGAGGACCAGCGGGTGGAGGACCGGCGTGTGGAGGAGGGCCCTGCATATGCTGTCCAGGCGGACCAGGTCTGGCACCACTCGGGGGAGGCGCGTAAGGTCCGCTCTGCGCTTGAGGCGACATAGTCCTCGCATACGGGCCTGGAGCTGCCACCTGACTGGGCGACGGGGTGGCGCGGATGTACGGGTTATTGACCTGCTGGATCGGCGGTGGAGTGCCACGCGCGTACGGCCCTTGAGGCGGCTGGTTCATATTGGAGGGCGGCATGTGGCCTCGGGGAGGCGGCTGAGCGAACTGACTGGGGGGATGCCCGGCCGATCCTTGCATCTGTGGTGGAGACATCATCCTTTGCGGTGGGGGAGCCATGTTCTGCGGGGGTGCTCCTGGAGGAGGGATCGACCCTGGGCGCCCATGAGGCGGGTAAGGCCCCGGTCCTCCTCCAGGCGGCAATCGTTGACCAGCCTGAGGTGGATGCGGAGGACCGTTTGCCTGTCGGCTTCCTGATCGAGGTGGGGGAGGTAGATTCGGCTGTTGTTGTCCTTGGAACGGCGAACCAGGCGTCTGTGGCAAGGGCGACGGTGCCGCGTTCGGGAAGGGTGATACTATTGGGGCTGGTTTATTGATATTTAGAGGATTAGGAGTACGCCTTTCGGAAACCATAGGCGCATCGTTCCAACCCCCATTAGCACGTTTGGGTGGCGGAGGTAATGTCGCTGCACCCGGGGGGCCACCGTTTGCCCTGGGCGGAGGAACCATGCCAGGCGAAGGCCCTTGAGGACTTGGTTGGTTTTGCAGATGAGGTACATACTTGCCGGACGTGTTCGAATATGGTGACGGGGCCGCAGATTGTTGGTAAGGCTGCTGCTGCTGGTAGGGCTGGTGCTGTTGGTATGCCTGTTGCTGCTGGTACGGCTGCTGGAAGCTCGTCTGGGCTGGTGCTGGCGCTGGCGCGGGAGCGTAAGGCGTACTTTGCGTGGCCGCAGGTCCGTAAGTAGAATATGGAGAGGACTGGGTAATGACTGGCGGAGTGGGCTGGGCGGGTTGCTGATACTGACCATATGGGTAGGAGGAGGTAGAGGACACGGACGATGCAGTAGGCACAGCTGGGGCAGCGGGTGCCGCGATCTTGGACGAACCTGCCACAGGTGCTGTTTCATTGACAGCTGCAAGCAAACGTTCTTTGCCGGTTTCGAAATCCCAGGCCGATCCGGATGAACCGCTATATTCCGGCGGCGTCAATTTCATGAAGGAGACGGCACCCTTCACTAGTCCTTGAGCCGCAAGAAGATCGGCATATTCAAAGTAACGGTCGTAAAGAGCAGAGAGTTTGTACGACATGGCGGAGGTATCTTCCGATGACCCTGTCAAATCCGTATCGACGTAGTTGGACGCGCTTCTGAATACTGTGACCTTCTCCACGAACGACTGCAGGGCGTGCGCGTGAGCAGTATAGCGGGAACCGTCGAGGCTATCCTCGCCGGAGGCAAGGCGCAATTCTTCTTCAACTAATTCCTCGATCCAGATGTTAACGAGCCGTTCGAGGCGGCCAGCGGCGAGATAAGTGAGAGTCGCGTTCTTCCTGAACTCACGAGCCCTCTGCGCAGCGTCAGGGCTATCTGAGCCAGCAGCGAGGTGAGATTGGAATTCGAGGCGCTGACCAAGCTGCTCAGCCAAAGCCGGGAACTCCTCCGAGTTCGCGAAAGTACAAATGACAACAAAGATCTCTTGCCACTCCCGCAGGTCAGCGTTCTGGACGATATCCGCCAGGTCGTTGGTCACAATGGATTGGAACAAGCGAAGGTAGGGAGAAGAGGTCGTGCACCGCTCAAAGTATATCTTCTGGGTGCGCTGCAGAAGTTCGGTGCCTCCCTTGACAGCAAGCAGGATAGCATCAGCAAAGCGATCAGACGACAGGCACAGCGACACTGCAGACTCGAAGTCACCCAGGACAAGCGCCTTGGTGATCAGCTGGTCCGTCTCCGACTCATCGTTTGGGTATATTCTGAAAGTGTTGCTCTTCAAGCTTTCGGAAGCCACCGAGGAAGGACCAGACCCAATCGTAGCTGCAACAGACGAGTCCAAGGCATAGTTCGTATGGGGCACGGTCATCTGGTCACCCTGATTCTGGGACATGCCCATGCTGCTGAAGAAATCTGCCGCTGCATCCATCTGGGGTGTCCCGGCCCCGTTATCATCCCCGAAGAGACTGGGCACAGTCGTCGTCGTCGACTCCGCGTCCACAGCTGGCGTAGCGTCTGTGTTCTCCGACGCAGCGCTGCCGCTCACCTCCGAAGGCGTGGCCTCTTGATTGCCTGCTGCATCGTCCGCAGCGTCTTCCCCACCAGCCTCCGACGGCGACTTCTCAGGTTCGGCAAAGGACACTACAGATCTTGACTTAGTCTCACTGGTGTATGATTCCAAGGGAGATCTGGGCGTCTCGGTCGCACTATCAGCCTCCTTTTTGAGCTTCGCCACCGCCTCAGCGACGCGAACGGCGATTTCCTCCTTCGAGAAACCCAACAGGGTCACCAGCTCGTCCCGCGAATTTGCGCGGAACAAGCTGCTGAGTGCCTTCCACGTGACACTGGACTCCGCGTCTTGCTCCGCCATCTGACTTTTATGATCGGCGAAAGAGTTGAGCGCCTGGCCGTCGATGGCAGAGCGCAACTTCTGGGCGCGTTCTGTGATCCCGGGCTCCGTGACGACGGTCCTGACGTGGACGACACTGCTCTGATTCGACCCATCCTTGGACTGTAAATTTGAGACGGACACAAGCTTTCCGCCATAGCCGAAGGAACTTGACACGGGACGGCGCAGCCACTTGGGAGGTTGTTTGAGAGACAAAGTCCCCTGCGTCATACGGGAGATGCTTGGAACATCGAAGATGTCAGCGCCATCCGGGGCGGGCGTAGGCGCCTGGACGTCGACGGCAGGCTCGTTCGTAGACTGGACGGAGTGAATCCCGATGGTGCCATCGAAGAATGCAGCCGCGAACAAGTCAGGATTTCTGGGACACCACTGAACCTGGAATGCCCAGTTATCGGCGGTCGGCAGCTACGGCACGCGGGTGTTAGTCTTGTCTTACTACAGCGAAATAGAAACGTACTTCGCCGATGATTTCTGAGGTTTGCGGATTCCAGCAGAGCGCCCTGTTGTCCTTACCAGCGGAAAGAAGTAGGTCTGGGTCCTGCTTACACCAGGACAATGAGAGGACGCCTTTCTCGTGTCCAGTGAGAATCTGCGAAAACGGTGAATCCGTAGCCAACCAAACAAAAAAAAATAACCGCTCTCGCACCTTTTCCGGTGCCCGCGTGTTGCGGAGATCCCAGACCATCACGACTGGCGATGCGTCGTCTTCGGAAGAAGTCACTAGCCGCGTAGCCTTCACGCAGAAGCTTCAGTACACTGCTCGCAACAGTGCTAAACTCCCTCACATTATCGGGCTGCCATGCGACATCGCTCATACCCCGCCTACCGCCCATCAGACCGCCCTGCGGTCCGCCTGCCAGCGTGCCCGCACCGCCGCCATACGCCAATGCAGTCACCTCCCGCTTTCCTCGCAGATCCCATACTACAGTATACCCAGTGCTGCTGGACGTCGCAAGCACATGGGGAACCTGATTGTTCCAAGCAAGGGACGTGATTTCGTTCAGCTTCGAGCTGCGCGTCCCCGGGGAGTAGGGCTTGCTCGGATCTTTCAGGTCCCAGATGTATATCTAGCCACACCGCTCAGAAGCAACCCGGGTAGACATGCGGGCTACTCACCTCGCCGTTCACGGCGCCGGAGGAGAAGAGGCTGGTTTGGATAGGGTTGAAATCGAGACCGCGCACGGGTCCGGTGTGCGTCGTGTTCCTCATGATGAGCGCCTCCTCCACCCTGTCCCCGAGTCAGCTGTGGCCCCCACGCGCAGACAGGCGACGTACGAGGCGTTCTCCAGAATCTTGGCCGGGTCCCAGATACCCAGTTCACCATTCTCCATGCAGGCTGCTATGACGCCGCTCGGGCGGTTGCCTTCGACGTATCCCCATGCGATGCGGTTGAATCTGCTGTAACATAAGTTCTGCACAAGCTTGCCAGCGCTTTGCAGCGTACCTTGAGCTGTTTGTGACCGATCCCTTGGGACCTACACCCTCCCCTTCCCCACCCAAGTCAAATTCATTCTTGTTCATGAAGTCGGGGGCCCATATCTCCAGCTGACTCTCATTGCTGAATGATTCGTCCAACGCTCCCGACACCGTTCCCGTTGCCAGCAGCGGTAATGCCGGTAAAGGCGACCAGGCGAACGTCGACGTTCTGTGGATTTCTTTTAATTTCATGATAGCGGTTTAAGCAGTAGAATCTATGCGGTACCCTACGTGTCGAAGGAGCGTAGGCGTTATGTCACGTGCTGTATTTAGGGCAGGCATGTATGTACTGCAACTTATAAGCTCTTGTAAATATCAAAAGCTGATTGGATCCCCTGTCAGTGTTGTCCAGCCGTTAAATTTTTGCATGACTTGCTATCAGCCATAGTCCTACCGAGGTGAAATGACAGTCGTTAGCTATGTACCAGTCACTGGCACCGTATATAATGAGTGGTTGGTGTCTATCCTGGATCTCGTGGCTGATATCTCTTCTACAGAGCGACGAATAAGACTATAGATATATACTTAGTTCCAGCTGACTAGAGACTACAACTACAGGATGCAGTAAGAAGTATGATGACTACTTACTGTTAGCGCTGTGCCCATTGATATCCAAAAGAGGCATCCTGTCTTCCTAATCTGGACTCAGCTGATTCTGAGCGTCATGGCTTGCTGAGTTCCTCGTAGGTCTCAAGCCGCCGTACGCTATTCCCACATAATCGTTTCAGTTCTCCAACTTACCAAGCTTCGGGTTAACGTTGGATCTGACTTCACCACTTTGGAGGCCAGCTTACTTCGAGAAGCCTGGACTTCGTTAGTTGCGGGGCGCTCCGCGCTACATCCGAAGGATTCAGATGATTCACAGGCCAGTTCTATTAGTTACCAAGGACCGTGTAGTCCAGCGTTCTGGCAGGTCAAGCTTCTGCTTCCTCTGTGATCTTAGGGTGCTGAAACGTATCACACTTTCGAATCCTAAATACAATCAGACACCCACAAAAGGAAGCGAGCCTGTGGCGGTATGAGGATGTCCAACAAATCCTGCTACTTTCCGTCGACTAGGGCGGACAATTTACCTTCTGCAATTCCACATAGACTCCTCATTCTCGACATGCTGGGGAGGGCGGCGCAACAATACGTACAAAGCGAATTCCAAACGAATCCATTGAAACAATAGCAAACTCGCGCTGAACTATTCGAACTCCGCTTGTGCCCCATTATGGAAGGTATTGTCTTTTGTCCACTTTTGTCACAATGCCAGCGGAAACAAAAGCTATTATCGACGGTATGTATACTAATACATGGGTATGGAGGGCGATGTACCTCGTACCGCCCACCGTCTGGAATCTGTCTGGGTAATTGCAGTTTCTCCTCTTTGCCATCGAATTCGCTTGCTACTCCTCGAACACACTCCTCTCGCAAGTTTTATCATTGAATCTTACGGCTAGCGACATGACTTCTCGTGAGTGAAGATGAAGTTTACTCTGACATCTACGTACTGACGGAGGTCCAGTATTTTCCAAAGATACCATGCTTTCCGGCTCCAAACGCCAGCAGCGCAGTCGGGTCCGAAAACCTAAAGCATCCAACTGGAAAGATTTGTGCCCTCTGATGGGCAAGCCACTGCACGCTGTTCCTGAAGTCGCCGAGGAGGAGGAAGTTTACTATCAACAGACATTTCCGACCACACCTTCGTCGTGTTCTTCGCAAGTGCCGTGCTCTGCCAGTCGCAACCTCGGGGGCAGTTCGACTCTCGGACCGAGGCGCTGTGGCCCAGATGTCGTCCTAGACATCAGAGCTCCTGAGACGAGAGCGACCCGGCCGCGCCCAGTGGGATTCACTGGAGCGGAAGAATTCTCTCTGAAGAGCACGGCTGATTTCGAATATGAATCGCCCCGGCCAGCTCCCCGGCCCCCATTACCCGCGTCCTCACCAACGTCCTCATCTTCCCGCTTATCATCGTACGACAGCGACGTAACAAACTCTCCGGACTCGTTAAACCTACGATTCTCCGACATCGGATTAGTCCTTGACTTCCCCCAGCCACCTAGGGCCTTGTCCCCCAGCCGAAGAGAACCCTCACGCTCACCCACTCCATCCTTGATGAGCAGCTGCACATCTCGCACGAGTGGCTCTAACACGAGCCTTGCTGCTTCGAGCATAGGAATCCCGACAACCCCGGTTACGTCCGACGATGAATTCCCGCCTTCACCCTTGTCCAAAGCGGCGCCCGTGCGACCCTTACAGATTGCCAAGAAGGACGTCGAGTGTCACGCGGCGGAAGAGGACGACTGGATCGACGACGACGGCGAATGGTACAAGAAGCAGTTCGAAGATATATTGACCCTCTGCTCGCCCTTACCGGCGGCATTCCGGGAGCCCAGCTCTCCGGTGAATATCGAAGCACCTGCAGCCGCCCGGCCTGAGTCTCTCATGCATGTATCACGTTGGTGTTCGAGTATGTATGGCAAACCCGCGTGTCCAAGCGCTCAGCTTGACCCCACCTTCCCCGTCCGAAGGCGGTCTGCTATCAAGCTCCCCAACCGACCTCCCCCACCAGTTCCTTCGGCACGCCGCCGCAGTCGGAGCTCCCAGAGTTCCGTCGCCAATGCGGTACGGTCTGCCAAGAACGAGCTTACGATCACCATCCCGGCTCGCTCGCGCCCGCCGCCTCGCATGTCGGTGCCTGCAGATGTCAGCGATGTCTTTGGCGATCTCCTCAGCCCCGAGGGTCACGGTGTGGTTTCTAGAGTCGCGGACGGGAGCACGCAGGAATTGTTCCTTCAGCCCGAGACGCCGAGCGTGTACTCTCAAAACACCGACAGTGCCGACGGTGACTTCTACGCGTCCCCATTATTTATGGGCGTGGAGCTGCCGCTGTCGCCTATAGATTTGCAGCTGGAGATCGCGACGACGTTGGAGCAGGTTCAGCGGAGAGGCAGGGAGGGTGCAGAGGCGGCGATGCCTGACACGCCCGTCGGGCAGATGTACAGCCCGCACCCGACGTGCTCTGAGGAGGCTCAGGAGAGACCGCTGCGTTCACGTTGGTCATCTTCGACTTTATCGTCCATCGCTGAAAGCCAACCGCCGATGTCGGCGTCTTCTAGCATATTGAGGTTCAACTTCTCGCCAAGGAGAGGAAAGACGAGGGAGAAGGCGAAGAGCGGGTTCGCGGGCTTGATGAGCCCGAAGCCCGTCTCGGAGCGAGGGTCGTTCCAAATGGATTTTAACTATGCGATGGACTCGAGGACGCTTGGAAGGAGGGGCAGCCGAAGCTCCAACGCCAGCGACAGCGCTGAGAGTTGCGACAGCGCGGGTAGCAATGGGCTGAGGAGGAAGCCCATTCCTGTGGAGATGTTCATCCGGTGTTGATCACGGTATTTATGAGTGTACATTCGTCTTCCTTCTCGCATCATTTTGGCTGTATCCCTAACTTGCATCATATATACCGTACGCGGACTGTATCCCTAAGGTTTCCCACTCATTCATCGTTATGACACCTCACCCTACCTTCACTTTTACGTCGATCTGTGTAGCTTCAGTACAATAGCTATGTAATCATTGTTGTCAACTTGAACTTAGAATCAAAAATCCTGGCGCGTCCGAGAATGATACCAGGAAAGGCAAAACATATGTGTGAATTGATTACGTAACTGCAACATTACAATGCCGCACATTGACATTACTTCTTCACGCCCGTCGTTATCTACGACGCTCACTACTCTATTTTCACGATGTCTGGCAGGAAGGACTGGTCTGGCTACAACTATGGAGCTATCTCCTCTCTGGTCTTGACCGCTGACCGGTCTGAGCTGCCACGACGAGACAAGGAGCCTGATGGCGCCCCAACGTCCTTGGCGGGTCGAATTGACCCGAGGGAAATGGGTTCTCGGGTTCAGAGGGAGGCTCCGAAGGACGTAGAAAAGAAGAAGAAGAGGGCCGCGGAGCGACAGGAGGCTACGGAGAAGCAGCTAAGCAAGCGGAAAGCTGAAGCTGCTGGCTTTGGCTATGCGGACATTATCGAGGCGACACAGGATGTGGAAGGGCTCACATACCGCCCACGGACAGCAGAGACGCGAGAAGTTTACGAACTTATTCTTTCTTCTGTGCATCAAGCTCTTGGAGACCAGGCGCAGGACGTTGTACGTAGCGCTGCTGACACAGTGCTCGAGACGTTGAAAAATGACAGCCTCAAAGACTTCGACAAGAAGAAGGAGGTTGAGGATGTGCTTGGGCCGATTGCGAATGAGTCCTTCTCGCAACTGGTTAACCTGTCGAAGAAGATTACGGACTACGGCGCAGAGGACGAGAAGATAGTGGACCCTGACTTGGAGCGGAAGGAGGGCGAAATTGATGAGGACGTGGGTGTCGCCGTTGTCTTCGACGAGGAGGAGCAAGAGGACGAGGAAGAGGAAGGCTACGAGGTACGAGAAGAGACTGACGATGAGGATGAGGAAATGGGAGAGGACCAAGAGGATCAGGCACCCGAAGAGACCCTCGAAGGTGAGGAGCTGGTTGTCGGCGGAGAGTCTTCTGCCCGGACTACAGCCAAGGCAAAGGCGGATAAGGATATCGTCTCGCCTCATCAAGTGGACGCGTTCTGGGTGCAGCGCCAGGTATCCGAGGTATACCCTGACCCTGTCACGGCGGCGGACAAGGCCTCCTCCGTCCTGTCAATACTCGGCTCAGAATCTAGCCTTCGGGATTGCGAGAACCAGCTCATGGAACTGTTCGAGTACCAAAGCTTCCCTCTCATCACGAAGTTCCTGAAGAACAGGGACGTGATTGTCTGGTGTACCAAGTTGCAAAGAAGTGACGCGGATGAACGAGTCAACGTCGAGGTTGCTATGCGAGAGAAGGGAGTTGGATGGATTCTGCGTGAACTCGCGGGTGACAGACAGGCGAAGGCTCGTGACGCGGACGCGATGGACGTTGACCAGGACGCGAAGAAGGTTGACGTCCCAAAGACAGGTACGCTCGCACCCGGCTCAACGGTCCAACCTAAGAGAGTTGTCGATTTGGAGAGCATGGCCTTCAGCCAGGGTGGGCATCTGATGTCGAATAAGAAGTGCAAGCTCCCTGAAGGGAGTTTCAAGCGCGCTAGGAAAGGGTTTGAGGAGATCCATGTGCCCGCGCCTAAGAAGAAGACGAGTGATGCCGCGACGGTACCCATCTCCGATCTTCCGGCATGGGCAAGGGAGGCCTTCCCTGGGTACAAGCACTTAAACCCTGTCCAAAGCAAACTGTACCCCACTGCATTCGGTACCGATGAGCCTATCCTGTTATGCGCTCCTACAGGCGCCGGAAAGGTACGTTTTATTCATCGGCCTGTTATTACATTATCTTACAGTCCCCTGTCAGACCAACGTCGCGGTTCTCACTATTCTGAATGAGATGTCAAAGTGGAGGGACGAAGCCACCGGGCAATTCGATCTGGATTCATGGAAGGTCATCTATGTTGCGCCCATGAAGGCGCTCGTGCAAGAGCAAGTTGGCCAATTCAGCAAGCGGCTCGCACCCTACGGAATCAAAGTCGGGGAGTTAACTGGTGATGCTCAGATGACGAAGCAGCAAATTTCCGAGACGCAGATCATCGTGACTACCCCAGAGAAGTACGATGTCATTACGCGCAAGAGCTCCGACACGAGCTACACCAATCTTGTCCGACTCATCATCATCGACGAGATTCATCTCCTGCACGATGAGCGTGGCCCTGTTCTTGAGAGTATAGTAGCCAGGACTATAAGGCGGATGGAGCAAACAGGCGAGTACGTGCGCCTCGTCGGTCTTTCAGCTACTTTGCCCAACTACCAGGACGTCGCGACCTTCTTGCGCGTGGACGAGTCGAAGGGATTGTTCTACTTCGATGCATCCAGTCGGCCATGTCCGTTGCAGCAGCAGTTCGTCGGTGTCACCGAGAAGAAGGCAATTAAACGGTACCAGGTCATGAACGAGGTCTGCTACGAGAAGGTCCTCGATCAAGCCGGCAAGAATCAGGTACTCGTGTTCGTTCACTCGAGGAAGGAAACGGCCAAGACTGCCAAATTTATACGAGATATGGCTATCGAGAAGGAGACCATAACGCAATTTGTCAAGCCTGACTCTGCCGTTCGGGAAATTCTGAACGAGGAGGCTGGCAACGTGAAGGATGGCAATCTGAAAGACCTGTTGCCCTTCGGGTTTGCTATCCACCACGCCGGCATGACAAGGGAGGACCGTGGTTTGGTGGAGGAACTGTTCGCCGATGGCTCCATTCAAGTTCTTGTTTGCACAGCGACTCTCGCCTGGGGTGTCAACCTTCCAGCGCATTGCGTCGTGATCAAGGGCACGCAAATTTACAACCCCGAGAAGGGTCGGTGGGTGGAGTTGTCCCCTCAAGACGTTTTGCAGATGCTTGGCCGCGCCGGTCGCCCACAGTATGACACGTTCGGAGAAGGTGTCATCATCACGAATCACTCCGAGCTCCAGTACTACTTGAGTTTGATGAATCAACAGCTCCCTATCGAATCTCAGTTCGTCGCGAAATTAGCAGATAACTTGAATGCGGAGATTGTCTTAGGCACAATACGGAATCGCGACGAAGCTGTCCAGTGGCTGGGCTACACGTATTTGTACGTCCGCATGCTCAAGTCACCGAGTCTCTATAGTGTCGGCGTCGATTACGAGGACGACCAGGGTCTGGTCCAGAAGCGTGCCGACATCATTCACTCTGCCGCTGCCATGCTCGAGAAATGTCACCTCATCAAGTACGAACGGGCGTCCGGTCGCTTCCAAAGCACCGAACTTGGTCGTATAGCATCTCATTACTACGTCACCTACAACTCTATGGCGACATACAACAAGCACCTGCGTCCGTCTATGCAGATGCTCGAGCTCTTCAGGGTGTTCGCTCTGTCGAACGAGTTCAAATACATACCCGTGCGACAAGAGGAAAAGCTGGAGCTTGGAAAGCTGCTGGAGCGCGTCCCGATCCCTGTGAAGGAAAGTGTCGATGAGCCTGCTGCCAAAATCAACGTCCTCTTGCAGGCGTACATTTCACAGCTGAAACTTGAAGGTTTCGCATTAGTGGCGGACATGGTTTTCGTCCAGCAGTCAGCGGGGCGTATTCTCCGTGCCATGTTCGAGATATGCCTGAAGCGAGGTTGGGCTGTGCCAGCCAGAGCTGCCTTGGATATGTGCAAGATGGTCGAAAGACGGATGTGGGGTTCCATGACCCCTTTGCGCCAATTCAAGCGGGTGCCTCCTGAGATTATCCGTAAAGCTGAGGGGAAACAATTCGTACGTGTCCCTCGTCGTATCAAGTCTTGAGCGTGACTGATGTATCCCCACTTCAGCCATGGTACCGTTATTTCGATCTGAACCCTCCCGAGATTGGGGAATTGCTAGGTATTCCGAAGGCAGGCCAACTAGTCCATCGCCTCGTCCACAGTTTCCCCAAGCTTCAGTACGCTTTCGTAGTTCTGGTGGATGTCCTTAGCCTGACTTAGCGCGTTCTAGATTGCAAGCGCAGGTTCAGCCCATCACCCGGTCGCTGCTGAGAATAGACCTTTCCATCATCCCGGACTTCCGCTGGGATGAGAACATACATGGTTCCGCCGAGACATTCTGGATCATCGTGGAGGATGTCGATGGCGAGATCATACTGTTCCACGACACATTCTTGCTGCGTCAAAAGTATGCTGAAGATGAGCATAACGTAACGATCACGGTACCGATGTTCGAGCCAGTACCCCCCAACTATTACATCTCAGTCATCTCGGATCGATGGCTTCATGCGGAGACTCGTCTACCCATTTCTTTCAAGCATCTGATCCTCCCGGAGAAGTTTCCGCCTCCCACCCCGTTGCTGGACCTCCAACCTCTCCCCCTCTCCGCTCTTCACAACAAGGAATTCGAGAGCATTTATGCTTCGACCATTCAGACGTTCAACAAGATTCAAACTCAAGTGTTCCAAGCTCTTTACACGTCCGATGAGAATGTCTTTGTAGGCGCACCCACTGGCAGCGGGAAGACCATCTGCGCCGAATTTGCTCTTCTAAGGCTGTGGAGCAAGCGCGAGCAACCTCGGGCGGTTTGCATAGAACCTTTCCAAGAAATGGTCGATCAGCGGGTTGCTGAATGGCGGTCGAAGTTCGGCAATCTGCAGGGCGGGAAGGAAATCGTGAGTCTCACCGGGGAGACCGCTGCCGATCTACGACTGCTAGAGAAGGGCGACGTTATTGTCTGTACACCTACGCAGTGGGATGTCATATCGCGTCGCTGGCGGCAACGGAAGAACGTCCAGACTATTGGTTTGCTCATTGCAGATGAGGTTCAACTAGTGGGAGGTGAGATCGGTCCGACGTATGAGGTGGTCATTTCCCGAACCCGGTACGTCTCGGCGCAGACAGATATCAAGACTCGTATTGTGGCCTGTGGCGTCTCGCTCGCCAATGCTCGTGATCTGGGCGAATGGATCGGTGCTCCTTCACATGCCATCTTCAACTTCCCTCCCAGCGCTCGCCCACTGGATATGGACATCCATTTGCAAAGCTTCAACATCCCTCACTTCCCATCCTTGATGATTGCCATGGCGAAGCCAGCCTACCTGTCCGTCATGGAGTATTCGCCCAACAAGCCCGTCATTATCTTCGTGCCCTCCCGCCGTCAGTGCCGACTGACAGCAGACGACATCTTGACACATTGCGGTGCTGATCAGGACGAGAACCGGTTCTTGCATGTGGAAGAAGCTGACCTCCAACCGCATCTCGATCATGTGAGCGATCAGGGGCTAGTAGAGACCCTTAAGCACGGTATCGGATATTATCACGAGGCTCTAAGCAAGCAGGATAAGCGTATCGTGGAACGTTTGTTCCAATCTGGTGCTATTCAAGTCCTCATTGCCTCAAAGGTCAGTAGAATTGTTTCATAGTAATGGGCTACACTGAACTATTATGCGTAGGATACCGCATGGGCACTTCCAGTCGCCAGCTACATGGTCATCATAATGGGTGTCCAGTACTACGAAGGCAAGGAGCATCGGTATGTCGACTATCCTGTGATGGATGTACTGCAGATGATGGGCCGAGCCTGCCGACCATTGGAGGACGACCGGAGTCGCTGCGTATTAATGTGCCAGCAAACTCGTAAGGACTTCTACAAGAAGTTCCTTGCCGAGGGTCTGCCGATCGAGTCACATTTACCGACGCATCTGCTGCATGATTATTTCCTTGCTGAGATTGCTGTCAAGACGATTGAGAACAAGCAAGACGCCATGGTAAGCATCCAGATTCATGTGCATGTCAACCGTTGCTCACAAACGTGTCTTCCCGCAGGATATCCTGACGTGGACGTACTTCTACCGACGAATGACCCAGAACCCGAACTACTATAATCTGCACAACGTCAGTCACCAGGCGCTGTCCGACCACTTATCTGAGTTAGTGGAGAATACTCTGAATGACCTGGTTAACTCGAAATGCATCACTATCGAGGACGAGATGGATGTGTCTGCCTTGAACTTAGGCATGATCGCTGCCTACTATAACATCTCTTGTATGTCGTTTTCACTGGCCACATAGACGCTTTGCTAACCCTAAGTCACAGACGTCACGGTTGAGGTCTACACGCTGTCGTTGAAAGAGCGAACTAAGCTCAAGGGTATCCTCGAAGTAGTGTCGTCGTCTGCCGAGTTCGAGACGATACCGATCCGCAAGCACGAGGATGTCCTGCTCCGCCGTATCTACGACCGTGTCCCAGTCAAGCTGGACCGGGCAGACTTCGAAGCGCCGCATTTCAAGACGTTCCTTCTTCTGCAGGCTCACTTCTCCCGCCTGCAATTACCGCCTGATTTGGCGGCCGATCAGGTGCTCGTTCTGGAGAAGGTGCTGAACTTGCTATCTGCCTGCGTGGACGTCCTATCGTCGAACGCGTGGCTGAACGCTTTGCGTGCGATGGATCTGTCGCAGATGTGCGTGCAGGCGATGTGGGAAACTGACTCGCCACTCAAGCAGATCCCTCATTTTGAGCCCGATGTGAGTATTTCTTACGTTGGGGGCCGGTGAGCAACAGTGCTGATGCTGCGGGCTAGGTAATTGCGCGCTGTAAGGAAGCTGGCGTCGAGTCGGTGTATGATATTATGGAGATGGAGGATGACAAGCGCAACGCTGTCTTGCAGATGGATGCTCGGCAGATGTGAGTGTCTGATACTGTTGCATTTCAGTGCGTGCTGACGGACATTTTTCAGGCGCGACGTGGCCACCTTTGTCAATTCGTATCCGACCCTGGATGTTAACCACGAGCTTGTCAAGGGCGAGTACACAGCGGGTGCGCCTATCACCTTGAAGGTGGCTCTCAGCAAGGACGCGGACGAGGAGGAAGACTCCAATGATGATCAGACCGTTGTCGCGCCGTACTACCCCCTGAAGAAAATGGCAAATTGGTGGCTTGTGGTGGGCGATCCCAAGAGCCAGCAACTGTTGTCGATCAAGAAGGTCACAGTGACGAAGAGCCTGGCCGTGAAGCTCGAGCTGACGCTTCCTGAGGGCAAGCACAGCCTGCACCTATATGTGATCTGCGACAGTTACGTGGGCGCAGATCATGACATTCCGCTGGAGACAATTGAAGTAGCGGAGGGAGAGGAGAGTGATAGCGATGAGGACATGGAGAGCGGGGACGAGATGGAGGAGTAGATGTTCCCCCGGGTAACTTCCTTGCATGTGGCGAAAATGTATCATTAGTCTCTTGGTCCTGCATACCATTGTTATTTGCTTCGTATGTACAGTAGTAGTGTGATGTTGTAATATGGCCATAGGGCCATTAGAGCTCTGCTTGCACCTGGAAGCCTATAGCACACTTCCAATTCTGGCATGAGGCACGCTTCATGCATGCGAAGTGCCAGTGGTTTGAGATATATGTGGCTCTGTGGCACATGCCAGTGCCTTGTTTGTGGCAAGTTTGGCCGGCGCACGGCACTGCAGCAGTCGTTCGAACTCGACAAATTACTGCTCGAGTCATACGCTCGTCATGCCCTTTGGCGAAATCGTGTGCGGATCTCCAGGAAGCGGTAAATCTACGTATTGCTATGGAAAATATCAACTTTTCACCGCGCTCAACCGACCGGTGGCGGTAGTCAACCTCGATCCCGCAAACGACAACATCCCCTACCCGTGCGCGGTCGATATATCGTCTTTGATCACACTCGACGATGTGATGGACGAACATGGGTTGGGACCGAACGGTGGCATGCTATACTGCATGGAGTACCTGGAAGCAAACTACGACTGGCTGGAGAGCCGACTGAAGGAGCTCGGGAACGACACCTACTTGGTATTTGACATTCCCGGACAAGTCGAGCTAAGTACGAACCATGAAAGCCTGAAGAACATCATTGCAAAGATGGGGAAGAGCGGGATTAGGGTACGCCTACGCTCGTCTGCGCAAAATATGCATGTGCGGAGTTCACAAAGGGCTCAAGCTAGCCGCGGTACATCTGTGCGATGCGCATTATATCACGGACGCGTCGAAGTATGTGTCGATCCTGCTGCTGTCCCTCAGAGCGATGCTGCACCTGGAGCTACCCCATATAAATGTCCTCTCGAAGATTGATTTGGTCACGCAATACGGCGATTTAGGTTGGTGTTCATGCCTAACTCCTTCGAACCGTTGCTCAATTGCGATCTCCTCCATTAGATTTCAACCTAGATTTCTACACCGAAGTACAGGATCTGTCGTACCTAGAGAATGCGCTATCCCGCGACAATCCTCGGTACGCGGCCCTGAACATGGCCATCTGCTCCCTGATCGAGGACTTTGGTCTCGTCGGGTTCGAAACGCTCGCAGTGGAGGTAAGCCGCATTCTTGAGTGGTGGCTGCAGTCGATGAATGGTACTTCCAGGATAAGCACTCGATGCTCCATCTCATGCGTGTAGTAGACCGTGCAACGGGTTGCGTCTTCGTTCCCCCAGCAGACGCTGCTGCACCGCCGGGCGTAGTTCCTGCATCAGGAGCACCAGCGAGTTCCCGGCCAAATGAGTATGGTCTGTTCTCTTCTGCTATCGGCCCTATCCAGGGCACTCGGAGTGACGTACGGGACGTGCAGGAGCGGTGGATCGATGCCAGGGAAGAGTGGGACGCGTATGAACGTGCACAGTGGAGGAAGGAAGGCGAGATGGTCCGAGACGAGGCGGCTAAGAAGAGTAAGATTAGGGAACGCCATACGGTTTAGTATAAGATAGCCGTAAACACCGGTAAGAATCTGGTCAGTGCGGTGTAGCACAAGGTCCACTGTAGAGCTTTATGCTCGTTACATGAATGCAGGTACAATTCTTTGCATGCAAGAACGCACTCTAGGACCAGAGTGTATAAGCGATGACCATGAGATCGTTCTGAGGCATGGAAGATCCAGCCCCGACAGCAACCTGACGTCTCCTGTTTTTTGTTTTTGGCGAGTCTACATTCGATCCTGAGTGGGTCTGCCTGTACAAAGATATTAGCACAGACCCCTCGTGATACTCGCGCGAATCATTTAGGGAGGTTCGAAGAGTCACCCGTCTGCGATTGCTGGAACAAGATGTACCATGCCGCACCTTGGGGACGTGCAGCAAAACATATCACGGCCATCAAACGAAGCATGTACCGAAGGTCTAGTAAACGAACTTCTGCCCTACGAGTTCCTCGCTCAATTTCCGTAGTCTTTCTGCAGCACCCTTGTCGACCGCGTATGGCTTGGTCTCCTCCTCGGGCGCTAATTGGCAATCTTGCAAGTATATGCCGTTATGCTCTGGATGGTAATGCACATGAACAACTGACTGACGTTAATTAACGCGCAAACAAGTACTCACGGTTGAGTGCAGGGTCGAATGCGGCGACGACGTAGGTGGCAGTGCCTTGGCTCACGTTCTTGTACCTGAACTTTGGAAGGTCCACTTCCTTGTTCCCAAGTTCCTTGTCCAGGGCCACTACGTGAGGGAGCGTAAGACACAGCCTTTCGTGTTGCTACCAAACTCACATAGGTCAGCATAGTCATGCGGGGAGATGTATCGATCGAGGTTGGTTTGGACAGGGCCAGGGTGCAGAACGAACACTTTCAGACCCTTCGAGCCTAGCTTCTCAGCCAAGGCAACCGAAAAGAGGATATTAGCCGTCTTTGCCTGCCCGTACGCGCGCCATTTGTCGTACACCTGACCGTCCTACGTTGAGCGCCTTCAGCAAAGTTACAAGGGTCCGCATCAAGAAGGAAAACTCACCTTGAAACCTATATCATCCCAGCGGATGTCACTGAATCGGTGTGCGGCACTGCTGACGTTGACCACACGAGGTCCCAGCTTAGATTGAAGCAGTTTGGGGGAGATGAGGTTGGTAAAAAGGAAGTGGCCCGACGTGATTCGTGCCGAACTGCATCTCCAAACCATCGGCGGTCTTCTGGTATGGGCAGGCCATTATGGCGGCGTTGTTAACGAGTATGTCGACTGGCTCCGGCCATGAGAGCACCTCTTCCGCCGCCTTACGCACCGACGCCTGCGATGCCAGGTCAAGTTCGAGGGTGCGCGTCTTCACGCCCGGGTGAGCGATTTCGATATCTTTGACGCACTCGGTGAGCTTCGAGGGGTTGCGGCCCGCGAGGACGAGGAGCCTGGGGTTGTGTGCCGCGACTACCGAGGCGAAACCGGCGCCTAGACCAGCCGGCGTGACGCCGGTGGTGAGGATGGTCCTACCATCGATATGAGAGGAAAGGGCGGCTGCGACTGCCTCGGCTGTGGCGTCGAAGTCGAATGAAGAGTTCGAAGTGATGCTGGTGGACATCGTCTGCTTGCGGAGGGGGACTGAAGTAGGACAGCGAACGTGATACATATAGTCTTTGCGGCCTCAAGATAAGCTACCGGTGCTAGGGAGAGAAAGGTGGCTCATACGTACCTATTGTTATGACGAGCGTCTGCGTCAACATCATGTGCTGACGGGTCATCCTCTGTAAGTATAGGTGGGATAGGAATCCAGGGGGTGTCCCGGTCCACCCACACTGTCTACTCCAGCAGACCTATCTTGGGTAGTGGAAGACGATGACTGTCAGTTCGTGAGGAAGCTCCAAGGCCTTACGCGACCATGTCGCGACGCCACCTTGTATTTCTCTCTTATCTCTGTGCTTGAAGATTGAAATGAGAATCATACATGTGGCCGGGTATATCTGCGGTTCACAATACGAGCTAAGGGAGAAGATGATATTGATAAGTTGGAGTTGATGTAGACATGCCATCTTCTTCGTGCAGAAGTACACGATGCAAACCTACTGAAACAAATTTGCCTATATGCCTTCATTGCTACTTCATCGCCCGTGGAGACTCGCATCGACTAGTTGCAATGAACCTACGACACAAGCAAAGCCATTTTGAACCTCCGGCTAGTCCTGGAGCTGCAAGTGACCGCAATATTGGCCCCATTATCCTTCAACCTATACAGCCACAGGAACCATTGGGAAATGCCAGTCTATACTTCACCCGTCCAGATACACCATGCACGCATGATAGAACAATGCATCACCCTACCTAGGTTTATAGACGATTGAGTGGGTCTTCAGTCGATGTTTTACGGTGAATCATGGTGGTTTGTTTTGCTCACCCGGCCCAACTCAGTATCATTGTAAAGCAGTAGAATAGGCTATCAATGAATACGGCTACACAGGCTCCCACTAATTACCAAAACTTTCAGATACCCAGTATGTCGGATGAGGTATTCCACTCACCGTATATGTTAGAACCCAGATACTTCCCAGTATCTAACTCAACCTGTCCCATTTCCCGGCACAGTCGTATACATGCTTCAAGCAGACTGACAAGTTGTAGAAAACTTATTGCCTGAGCTCAATGCAGCCACAGAACGTACGCTGACCCGTATCACAGAGAATTGTGGCGGATGGACAATTGTGGCGCAACACCGGCGCTCTCCGCTCATCGCGACACTATCCCACCGCTGAGGTTGTAAAGCAGGCTTGTGGTAGTGAGTGCAGGTAGACCGCATAGCAAACGCGATGACTGATGACACTACGACATAGGTTAATTCTCGCTGTTGCCTGGGCGCGAGCAGCAACGGTGTTGAGCATAGTTCCGCCATCGTTCAAACCGTTATACACCGAAGGAGAGCGATGTCGCAGAAAGGTTCACGAATGGGTTCCGAGGGCGAAATGATGCGATCTGCGTCAGTCTCACGGCCGTCATCGTCACAGCGAACGCAGCGAAAGTTAGCCGAGGAACCAGCAGAAGCGCCCGGTCGTCTCTTCCCTTCGTCCGCGTACGACCTCATGCCAGTATACCCCGGGGCACATTCGCAGATTATGTCTGGAGACGGCGCGAACGCGCAGGACAGGCCACTGGATGTTACGGACGCACTGGGCTATTTGGATGCTGTGAAGGTGCAGTTCCATGACCGCCCGGACGTGTACAACCAGTTTTTGGACATCATGAAGGATTTCAAGAGCCAGATGTACGTTGTCTCACGTCCTGTGTTCGAGCTTACGCGTATGGTTTCGCAGCATAGACACCCCCGGCGTGATTCAACGCGTGTCTTCACTCTTCCGCGGCCATCCCGCCCTCATCCAGGGCTTCAACACGTTCCTGCCACCGGGGTACCGTATCGAATGCAGCAGCAACTCACAAGAAACGAACCTCATCACCGTCACCACGCCTACAGGGACGACGACTCGGTCGGCCGCTACGTACATGGAAGCGCCGCCACGCGAGCTTGCTGGTCACGCCTCGACCTCGATGCTTCTCGACCCGAACCCCGGCTACCAGGGCATGCCGCCACCCTCCGCGCCACCCAGGGACCAAAAGGCGCCGTTACAATCCGCGATGAATTATGTTCAAAAGATCAAACTGCGCTTTACGGACGAGCCGGACACATATAGGCAATTTTTGGAGGCGCTGAACAACCACGCGGATGAGGTACGTTGCCATTGTGCTTGGATATCATCAGCTGAAGAGCCGTGAACAGCAGGAGGCTTTGTTAGCGCGGGTGGAGATGATTTTCAAGGACGAACGGGGCCTGTTTGAAGAGTTCAAGGAGTTTGTCGCCACGCAGAGAGCGCACATCGCGGACATGATGACGGGCGACTCGCGCGCGCCGACACCAGAATCCCGACCATCTCGGAAGAGAGGGGAGCCCTCGGGCTCATCTACTGCTCAAGGGTCGGCCAAGAGGAAGCGGAAGCCCGCAGAGAAGGAGAACGCGCCCTCTACGAAGGCTGGTGGACAGAAGGTACGTAGTGGGAATCTATTTCTCCGCTCTGAGACTCATGCCTTGGGACACATTCAGAAAGGCAAACAGACGGCAAGCCACAATGAAGCCTCGAGCTCCCGCACACAGAAACCACCGTCCCCTCGCACTGCCAAACTGCACCACCACCAGGCCCTCGCTGCGAACCCTAACTACCCATCCACATCACACTCCCTCCCCCTAATGCCGCCGCCAAACGTCGTTCTCAGCCAACAAGACGAGAGCAACTTCTTCGACCGCGTGAAGCGGATGCTCGACAGCCGGGAGACGTTCAACGAGTTCCTGAAGATCGTGAATCTGTTCACGCAGGACATCATCGACCGCTCGCGTCTGATCAAGGAGAGCCGGACGTACCTCGGCTCCGGGGAGCTGATGGCGCAGTTCATGGAGATCCTGGGGTGGGACGAGAGGAAGGAGGCGGAGAGGATCTCGGCGGAGCAGCTGGAGCAGGCGTGGGTAAACCGTTCGCCCAGGGTGCTTGATGTCCCGCGGAGAGTGGACCTGAGCGCGAGGTATGGCAGCTATCGACGTCTTCCAGAAAACGTGAGTCACAATTTGGTCGCCTCTAATATTTGCTTTCTGAGCACACTGAAACCCCGTGTAGGAAATCAACGTGACATGCTCGGGCCGGGACGATATGTGCAAGGCTGTACTCAATGATGAGTGGGTCTCTCACCCTACTTTCGCCAGCGAAGATTCTGGCTTTGTGGCACACAAGAAGAATGTCTACGAGGAAGCCCTTCACCGCAGCGAAGAAGAACGGCACGAGTACGATTTTCACATCGAAGCTATCACTCGCACCATCAGCGCTCTCGAGCCCATAAACAACAAGATCGCACAGCTGAGCGCCGAGGAACGCAGCAACTTCAAGCTCAAAGCTAACCTCGGTGGCGTCGGCAAAAGCATCCATCAAAGGGTCATAAAGAAGATATACGGGCGCGAGGCCGGCTTGGACGTCATACAAGCGATGCAGGACTCTCCCGCCCTCGCCATCCCCGTGGTCCTGGGCCGGCTGAAGCAGAAGGAGGAAGAGTGGAAGCGCGCACAGCGAGAGTGGAACAAGGTGTGGCGGGAGGTCGATGCGCGGAACTACGAAAAGTCGCTCGATCACCAAGGCATCACGTTCAAAATGAACGACAAGAAGGCGACCAGCACGAAGGCGTTCCTCAACCAAATCGAAGCTGCTCGAGACGAGCAGATAGCGAAGCGCGCAGTTATGGTTGACCCACTATTCTCGAGGGCGCGGCCGAGACATCAGTTGGAGTACTTCGTCGAAGATATCTCGGTGCTGCAAGATGCGCTGCGATTGACCCTCAGCTTCCTCGACCGCACCCAGAATCAAATAGGGTTCACTGAGCGGCGGCGCATAGAAGGCTTCATTCGGCTGTTTGTTCCCATGTTCTTCATGCTTGACCACGCCAGCTTCAACGCCGCCTTCATCGCTCGGCGAGAGGTAGGTGACAGCGAGACTAGTGACGAAGTTGCCAGTATAATAGATGAGGCGGAGATCGTCAGTGTCGCGAGCAGCAACTCAAGAAATGGCAGAGGCACGCGGAAGATGGGTGGCGGGAATGCGGGCGACTTACGCAAGAAGCTGCTGAAGAGCGAGCAGGCCAAGTCGACGAGTAGGCGCACGAGAGCCCAGGAGTTGGCTTCCCCCAATACATCGCGGCCTGCGTCACCAGCTCTGACTGACCCGATGCAGGTGGACGCGGAGGAGAGTAAGCCGCAGGTATCGGAGAAGAATGGAGAGCCGTCGAGTTCATCCAATGGAGCTCCTGTAGAACGGACGGACCGTAAAGGCTCATTCTTCACAAATACCATCTTCTATGTCTTCATACGGCTAGTTGAGGTGAGTTGTCGATCCATCAATGATGATAACCTATTCTAATATGTTATGTAGCTTCTCTATTCTCGACTCCTACTATACAAGCACCTGAGTGGATCTTCCTCCCGTCAACAGCATTACGCTATGCTGTTGGATGCGTGCGAGAGACTGTTCGACAACGATATCGAGCAGCATTCGTTTGAGGATCAAATGAGGCAGTTGTTTGGACCTAGGGTAATCGCTTGCCATGCCTGGTCAAAATACTCGCTAACTCGTGGCCAAGGATGCATATCGGATATTCACCGTGGACAAGGTGATAGGGCCCATGATCAAGCAAGTATGTACTGCAGTTTCTCAAGCGATCCCCCGTCGACTTGTGCTGATGGTTTCGGCTATTCTGTAGATACAACTTGCTTTGTCAGATTCTAAATCAATGGAACTATACGAGTTGCTGAAGAAGGAGCGGGCGATCACGTCCCCCGTATCCCAGGATTACATCAACCTGAGGAAGCAAGCTGAAGCAATCTTGGGTCCTGATGAAAACCTATTCCGCATTGACTGGGTGCGTTTCTTACCCGCCATTGAGTTGCGCCATGGTCATAATTTACCCTGCCATTTTTAGTATCCAGATCTTAAATCGGTGACTATCCAGCTGTTAGGGAAGGATGACGCAAGTGACACAGACCCGGAGGTACTCAGTGGTCGCTGGCAAGCTTATCTCGATTCCTTCGTTTCTGTGAGGAAGCTGTCGTCATTTCCTTTACTCGTTTGTCTTATGAAGAATGTCTAGGGTGATTCCGCTGCAGGTCTCCCACCTAACAAAGTCAGATCACCCTTCTTACGCAGGTAAGCCGATAGCTTCGTCTTTCCCTGGCTAGATGCTGAAGAATGTATAGGAATCTACCGCAATCGCTCGAGCTGCCCAAAATCGCCGCACGTGGGGGCTTGGAGATCAAGGTCTGCGTGCGGACGTATCGGCTGTTCTTCGTATCGCACACCGAGGATGTCTTGTTTCGAACGAAGACACAGGAGGAGCTTGACCGTGCGCAAAAGTATCAGCCCCGACCGTTCAAGGACGGATTGCTTGGAAAGAGCCAGACCCCGCCTGTGCAGCAGCCCAGTTGATATATGTTTCCTGCGCCTGTTCTTTTGGTCGTTCGCATTTATCATTATTAGATGTATAAATATCGTAATTGGGACCTGGGACCACATATCCAGTATCCTGCTAAGTTGTGGACATGAATGCCCGATAGATCGGTTAATGTCCGAGAAGACGTCTGTAAGCTCTATCGTGCGGATCTAGGTTATGACAACATCTGTCGCAATGTAGCTTACTCAGACGCTTCGAGTAGCGCGCATACGCAGGTATATATACAAGGACAAGCAGCAAGTACTTCTACGTACCAGCAAGAACAGCGCCTTTTCAGTCATCATCATGCCGGAGAAGATTACCCTTTACACTGCGAAGGTTTGTACAATATAATAGTACGGTAGCAGGCCGTGCCTGAGCACACCTTCATACAGGTCTGCCCTTATGCTCACAGGGTACGTCGACTGCGACAGTCGATACTATCAACGTGATGACTGAGAAGCAAGAAGGTTGAGCTTGCTCTCGAAGAGGTGGGGGCACCCTACGAACCGTACCAGATCGACCTGCAGAACAAGCCGGAGTGGTACGCGCCCCAGATCAATCCAGCAAGCAAAGTGCGTCCTCATGTGCACCTTTGATAAGTACAACAGTTGACCTCCAGAGCCTAGGTACCAGCAGTGGCGTACGGAGGCCCACCCACTTCGCCCGATAAGCCCTCCCCAGAGTCGACCAAGATCGCAGAGTCGCTCGTCCTTCTCGAGTTCGTGGCCGACCTATACCCCAACTCTCACTTGCTGCCGAAGGACCCCGTCCTCCGTGCCAAGGCCCGTTTCTTCATTGATGCGGTGGGCACGAAGCTGAACCCCAAGTTCTTTGCGTTGGTGATGCGCGGTGAGCCGGGCGCAGGGGAGGGCTTGTTGCAAGGTATCGAGGAGATCCAGAAGCTCCTGCCGGAGGAGGGGAAGGGCAAATATGCGGTCGGAGATGTCTACACGATTGCGGATGCCGCAATTACGCCTTTCCTGGCGAGGATGGAGGTGGCGATAAAGAATGATCTCGGGGCATTCGAACCGGGCGAAGGGACGAAGGTGTACGAGAAGCTGCAGGGTGACCCCAAATATGCAAGGTTCAGGAAGTACTTGGACGATGTCAAGGCAAGGCCGAGCTTCCAGAAGACGTTCGACGAGGTGAGGTCTTGTGTATTAGCTCATTGTGTACATCACTGACAAGAGGTTACAGGGATATTTAGTTGAAGCATACAGAAAGAGATACGAGCCGGCTCGGGCCCAAAAGAAGAATGATTAATGTGCTATCAGTTTGTGGACGACCAGTTTGTATTTGTATCAGAGTTACCCCAAGCGATGTGTGTATACTGTAATCATCCTGTGCGAAGCTGAGCCACCCATATGTCGAGCGTGCATCCCTTATGCCGTCTCCCGGCTTGAACAGACACGATTATAGTGATGGATAATAAGTACAGTTATTTGGCTTAGTTTACGTGAGGTACTGTAAATCCACGTAAATCGACCCTACCGTGACCCGGGGTCAACGGTGGCTGATGGCCCAAGGTAGCGGGTAGAGCGCGAAAATTCTAAGTCCCACTGCATTAAAAGGTCCCGAGTAGTGCCAGATTCATGGTGAACACAAGCGGTATACTGTACATATTATTCTTACTAGATACAAAGGCTCTAAATACGATAAATAGTGCTATTTGAGGAGGAGCACATAGGTCCTCGACGCGTCAGACGCGTTCTAATTACACGCCACGCGTCCTGGGGTCCCGAAATGAGTATCCCGACAAGGGCGCCAAAGCTCTCGGGGTTTGATGGGGAGAAGCGCTCGGGAACGCCGCGCGAAGCGGCGGCGGCTTGATGTGATTGTACACAGCCCGGCAGTATTTGTACAAATGTTGCGTCAAAATCCGGAATCAAACGTTTGCGTTGAGATTGCCAAACAGGAGCAAGAAAATCGCCCTCGCGAATGAATCAGACCGAATATTTGCATGAGTTTCTTGCCGCGGGATAGCGCAAATGTTGCACAAATAAAGTCACATGACCTGCACGGGACTGATAACATCAATCACGCCATTCCATACCATATGCCTAGATTGATCCCCTTTCCCACCCCGTTGCTCGACGGCGCAGCTTATATGGATGCATGGAAAACAATATAATCATTATACATATCTACTACATACATGCCTGAGCATCTAATGATGTCTTGTACATCACAAGACCCAATATACGCACTGCCTGTGGTGCATCTGCTGTTACAGAAACACGGAAATGCGAGTGCGAACATACGGCGATATGCCGCACACTTGTCGGCCTGTACAACTTCTGCATCATCAGTATGTTCAGAGAGACTGGAAGAGTAGCGCACTTACCTCGTGCTAATCGAGCATCAGGATTGAAGAAGATATGGGACTCTAGACCCGGCCGTTGAGTGCAGTCAAGCTCAATGACCTACCGTGCAGCAACGGGACAGCAGCGAAACATAGCTATAAATATGGTACACGTACCATGTCAAGTAGAGATAACAGCTGCAAGATGCTGGGCGGAACTGAGGGGAGCACAGGCACGGACAAGAGATGGTGGTGGTTGAAGGGCAAGAGAGGATGAGAGAGAAATTTGTTGAAGTCCAACTCCAACCGCTACGAGCGGAGATTGAACTCCGGCACATCGGCATGATGAAGCAGCGACGCGACGTGTCACGAGACCAGCGGCACGCCCCCGTGCCGATAAGTCTAAGTCAGAATATTGCGCAAAGGAATCCACGACGCAAATCCTTTGCAACCTGTATTGCAACCGTTGCACAAATGACACACGCGCAAAATGAGTGCAACTGTTACGCAAAAGTACTGATATCTATACTACCGACATTTGCACGAACGCCCCTTGGATTTTTTCACCAGATTCTGGGCAGGCCGTGTACGGAGGGCGTGACGTGCCCGTAAATCCATGCATCACGTGGCCGTAAATCATGTAAATCGGCGTAAATCCACCGAAATAAATGCTTTACGCTGCTTATGCCGCGCTTTCGCGCACTTATGCTGTAAACTGAGTGCTTTTGCACCTGCGGGATGCCTCCCCGGCTCTTGGGGGCTAAACTGACTACATAGAACGATTTTTTGAGTACATTATCCGTAGTTACACGCATTTTGGTAATATACATCAACTTCTATCTACTGCAGGAGAGCAAAAGCACCCCCGGGGAGGTGCAGCACCGGGGAACGAGCGGGACAGGCGACGCGTCGACGCGTCGCGCGAGGCGTGGGAATATCCGGAAACCGCCGAGCGCCACCTGCCTAATAAGGAAGGAAAAGCGTAAAGCCAGCGGCATAAGGGGTATTAATATTATGGGTTTCGTCACTGAGTACTGACAGTCAGTGACAGATCGAAGGGGTCTCGTTAGCGGTCACGGGGTCCTGCTCTCATTGGATGATGGGTCGCTAGGCTGGTCTAGCGGCAGACAGTAATGTCGATATCGGACAGTGTATAGCATTGTAGAACAGCATGATAGGGTAATATACCAGCAATAGTGCTGATTTGATATTCTTTCCATGTTGCTACATTATACCTATACTTCAGGCTGCAAAGCACACTTTTCAGCCAATCAGCAGCTGATCCCAGCAGGACCCCCGCCTCACTCCGAAGACATGCTTGGCGCCATCAAGCGGGACAGCCTGAGCTGGCATTTCCAGTCCCTACTGCCAAATCTTCGCCTTGCGATTGAACTCAGTACTAAAGGAGACAACTTATTTCGCATCGAGAACTCAAATTATTGGGAACTGCACCCACAAATCGGCCGCGATGATAGACGAGGGGCGAAGGCAGACGTGCTAAAGGGATCAACTACATAGCAGATAGCCAACCGTAGCTCGGAGACGCTTCAGGGTCTCCAAGTGGTCCCATGAGCAAGTGACCTGGCCTTCCGCCACAGAAAAAGTCCAGGCCGCCCCTTACAAATGGTGCGAAGTCTTGCGAAGTTAGGAGCAGGATTAACCTAGCGTACGCGTCTGTCGGTCCCGACGCAAGCCAGTGACTCAGAAAATACAACCGACATTCATGATTACCGAGCCTTCGGTATATGTTTTCGATGACTCATGTTCTGATTACAGTATCACTTTAACCAGCCTCTTGGCGACACCGTTAACAGAGTCTACCTGGACTAGGTGATCCAGACATATGCTCATTACTAATGAAAAACAACCCTTCTTGCCCTCGGCACGGTGACGCGTACAGACGCGACTGCACCAGTGCCGCATAGGTAAGCGTCTTGGAGAAATTTGAAGAAACGTTTGAAGGGCAGGCTTGACAACGTGCGATCAGGGGACTTCTTGCGCGACGAGGCGAGAAAACATCTATAAAACCCTGGACCTATCTGTCTTCGCCCTCCGCACACAGAATATGTCCAAGAGCATCACATCGAACCCATCCTTTGGCGCTGAGACCTCAGCAGAGGAAGTAGCTGCCAGCCTCTCCTCGCACATCACTGGGAAGGTCATCCTCGTTACAGGCGTTACTCCTGGCGGCCTCGGTGCTCACTTTGTAGAAGTCAGCGCCGCGCACAAGCCGAAGCTCCTCATTCTCGCGGGGCGCGACCCCTCGAAACTCGCCGAGAGCACCAAAGCGATCGAGAGCGCACATCCAGATGTCAAGACACGCGCGCTCGAACTCGACCTGAGCTCGCAGGCGAAGGTCCGCAAAGCAGCGGAGGAAGTCCTGTCGTGGTCCGAGCCGATCGACCTCCTGGTCAACAACGCCGCCATCATGGCTGCCCCATATCAAAAGACCGTCGACGGGCTGGAGAGTCAGTTCGGCACGAACCACATTGGACACTTCTTGTTCACCAACCTCATCATGCCCAAGATCCTTCAGTCGAAATCCCCTCGCATAGTCAACGTCAGCAGCAGTGGGCACCGGCTGAGCGCTATCCGCTGGGACGACTTGGATTTCAAGGTAGGATTCCTGTCTACAGATGTGTTGCGTTACCGTGCTGATGATTTATATAACGCAGGACGGCAAGGAGTACAATAAATGGGCCGCATACGGACAGGCAAAAACGGCGAACATCCTTTTCTCGGTAGCCCTGGCGGAGAAGCTGGGCTCCAAGGGACTGACGGCCTTTTCTCTGCACCCCGGCGTTATCAGTACAAACTTGGCCAGGTTTGTTTCGGAGTCCATGGAAAAAGATTTTGCAGAATTACGTAGGTCTTGCATGGGCACTATCCAGTTGGAATTTTTCTGACCATTTTGCTACGGCGCAGACGAGCTCGACAAGCAGTTAGGCAATAAGGAAGGCAACGCCTCTCTGTCCGATATCAAGTGGAAAACACTGACCCAGGGAACCGCGACACATGTCGTCGCAGCCTTCGATCCTGCCCTCGCTCGTGAGTACTATCGCTCGCTGCGTCGTATCATCCTTCCGGTGGCACTGACAGTCGCACAGGGCATAACGGCGTGTTCTTAATTGACTGCCAACTCGCGCCCGATGATGACATCAAGCCCTACGCGCTCGACAAGACCAACGCTGAGAGACTGTGGAAGCTCAGCGAGGACATCGTCGGGCAGAAGTTCACGTATTAAAGGCGATAGTAGTACCATCGTTGAGAAATATGCAATGTAAATGTGTTCAACGGCCCTGTCCGTCGTCGGGCAAATACACAAGTACTCTTACGATCCAATTGCCTCGTTATCTGAGTCACCGAACTTTTTGGCGGTACATATGTATATGGGCGACCATGAGGACGGTGCTCTTCGGAAGGATGTTGCAAGCTCAATCGTACTCAGAAGGTCTTAATACTATCATTTTGGGGGTTTTGTCAAAGTCAGATTTTTGACAGAACTCCGAAATCTCGACAACTATGTAACGGATGGCTTAGCGGATTGGCACATAGGTGAATTGTGACCCGTATAGAGCATCTGTCAAATCAGAACCGTCATATCTTCTACCGTTGCTGGATGGGAGGACGAATACTGGCTAAACAGCCCAGTGTAACCATGAGAAACAGGCCTGATGCATTAGATCTCTGGGCCTACAGTCTTCCGGTAAATATCAGCTTGTTGGAGAACACTGTCTTATGTATAGCTAAACATGGTTCACCCACCCGATTGGTGTTACAGCAATCCCAACTGCTCATATCGTATGTTTGACAGAAGTGCAAGGGTCCCGGGCGTGACAAATGCGTGACGAAATTGGCGCGGATTCACAGAAAGTCGACCCCACTGGGAGGTCACACCGCCGAACGCGTTCGCGAACCGCGAACACGAACGTCGGAGGCACGTGCAAGCCACTACACGGCGCACGTGGCGGAGTTTTGTGGCTCTGCCCACACAGATGCGTCCTTATCAGGCCCCCTGCTTATGATAGAATGCATTCAAAACTGTTAAACTATCAGATCCATTATAATAGTGCTGGTCCGTGTCAATGGTATTTGCGAGATTGAACTCGTCGGGTGATTGGCGGAAAACGTGGTAAGTAATCAGAGCCACAGCTTGAGCATCCTGATATTCATTCGGACGTGCCCCTCCCCTCTCCCCCCAACTCATGCCACCGGTAGCAGTGTACTACTGGCAGTGTCATGCCACCACAAGCATAGTTAGTCATTGACATTGGGTTGGGTATATTCATTAAAACTACGCTGCATATTAATGTACACTATTCAGCAATGCCGCAAAGTAATATGTTCATACCTACGGTTTATTTCCCCAGTTTTCGCTGTCTTTTTGCCAAGTAAGATTGCGGTGTGGCATCCGCCCCGGCCCAGACAACGGTGTGGCCTCCCCTCACGTGGCTAACAGGTTCGCCGAACTCGTTCGCGAACGCGTTCGGCGGGCGAACTTCCCAGTCGGCTGGACGTTCTCCGGATTCATTACTGTGACCCGCGTGTGACGCTTTGACAGAACTACCTGCGACTGTGGGTCCGTCACCGGCATCTCTCTCTATCATTTTGTACCCAGTCAATTGAAGTCAGTATTTGTGCAGATGGTACTTAGGAGGGCTTATTATGATGCCTGACTGAAATTAAAATGATTGTCCAAGGAGCAGGCCTGTGTACCATGAGCTCAGTATCGAGACATATAGAAATACATTAGTGTATACGTACGTATACAATAATCATAGCCAGGAAGAAATCTAGGCCCTGGAATGCGAAGTCGCAAGGCCGCGTCATCGCTGCAGAACCACTGGCAAAGAGCTGAGAAGCCAAGCCAAGGCTGTTCTCCCATGGCCCAGTGAACGTACGGAGATACTGTGTTGTCCCTGAACCATCGATGTACACGCATGCTTTCGGCTTGTTCGTGTAAGCAGCCTTCCTGCATGCAGCACCGGAGATAGTATTTCGCGGAGTGGGCGACAGTAAGTATATCTATCGGGCCATGTACCATCTAAGGCCCTTCCTACATCAGCAAAATGGCAGCCCACGCTAAGAGGGATCCAGGCGCTAAGTACCGCTAAGGCGCCCTTACCGAGCGCCTTAGCTCTAACTCTCTGAGTTTCTTAGCCAATGCTCTAGAGGGGCGGCAGAGCAATATAGATAGCTCTGTTGATAATATATACACATGTATTGTATAACAGTAGGGCTAGACGAGGGCGGGAACTCGTAATTTAGGATTTGCGATCGTTGAAGGCCAAGGTGACGTGGATTATATAATGTTATAGGGATACTAGTAATGTGTGCTGATGGCCTAACGGTTAAAGCGTATTGCGTGACTCGGGTGGTGCCGGTTCGAATCCCCCCCATGCTACAACTTTTCTCTTTTCTCCCCACTTATTTCTTGCCTGAGTGTTCTTAACACCTTAATCAAGGACTTAGCTAAGTCTTGATGCTGGGCTCAGGGGGCGGGCCCCCATGACTTAAGAATTCGGACTGGGTACTTATTTGCCTGACATTCGTTCTTAGCTTCGCTTAGACGGCCGTGCCGTTTTGCTGATGTACATCCCCTTCTCCATCATGTCGACAATTATAACGTCAAACCCTTCGTTCGGCTTTGAGACCACCGCCGAGGAGGCAGCAGCCGCCCTTTCCTCCTATATCCAGGGTAAGACAATCCTCGTCACCGGAGTCACCCCAGGCGGTCTGGGCGCCCATTTCGTGACGGTAGTGGCAGCACACAAGCCGAAGCTCCTCATCCTCGCGGGTCGCAAGCCCTCCATCCTGGAGCAGGTAGCGAAAGAGCTTGAGAGTGCTCACCCGGATGTCAAGACGCGCACCCTGGAACTTGATTTAGCTTCGCAGGCGTCCGTGCGCAAGGCGGCCGAGCAAGTGCTCTCGTGGCCGGAGCCGATCGACGTCCTCGTCAACAATGCCGCTATCATGGCATGCCCGTATTCGAAGACGGTCGATGGCCTGGAGATACAGTTCGGCACGAACCACATCGGCCATTTTCTATTCACCAACCTCATCATGTCCAAACTACTGCAGTCGAAAGAGCCTCGCATAGTGAACGTCAGTAGCGGTGGTCATCGATTCAGTGATATTCGCTGGGACGACATAGATTTCAAGGTGAGCTCTCTTTGCGTGTACCCTATAAACGTCACTGAGGCTAGACAACGCAGGACGGTCAAGTGTACGACAAGTGGCGCGCGTACGGGCAAGCGAAGACGGCTAACATCCTCTTTTCGCTCGCCTTGGCTGAGAAGCTAGGCTCGAAGGGCCTGAAGGCGTTCTCCCTACACCCTGGTGCAATACAGACCAATCTTGGCCGGCATATTAACCAACAGGATATCGAGGCATTGAGTGAGTCTTATAACCATTTGGAGAGCTGTGCATATCTGCTTTTCTAACTACTCACCGCGTAGCGGCCTTGAACAAGGAGGTCGGAAACAAGGTAGACCCCACAACCTTCAGATTCAAGAACCTGACCCAGGGCACCGCGACGCATATGGTCGCCGCATTCGATCCGGCACTCGATCGTGAGCATTCACCTTCATTTTATCAATGTATGCCAGATCAACTGATACCGCTTTGTCCAGAACATAACGGGGTGTATTTGCAAGACTGCCAACTGGCGCCCGAGGATGAGACCAAGCCGTACGCGGTTGACAAGAAGAGTGCGGAAAGGCTCTGGAAATTGAGCGAGGAAATTGTAGGACAGAAGTTTGTGTACTAGACCTTCGGACTTGGCTCGTCAGTGGTCAGCACGTACTGAGAGGGTTTTCTGCCCGCGCAATCGTAAAACTAGAAAGACATCTGCGGTTAGAGATGAAGGTTGTTGGATATGGCCAGCGATCCACGCACGAAAGTACTTTGATTCTTGGGCCATCGAGTAGGGAGCATCGAAAGTGTTTTCCTTCGCACGGTCAACTTGCGCAGGGCGGGCCCGATGCTCTTGAATGCCGTCGGGGATGTTCTACTACTAAGCTTAGCGTGATATCTACACTGGCAGGTAAACTTATCAACACACTACATAGTATCTTGCGGCCTGGAACCATCGCCCCGACTCCGTAGACGTCAAGAAGACTGCGCACCCGTCTCATGATAGAAAGCGGAAAGGCGAGATTGTGTGGTTACGAATGGCGATGCAATTGACGTAGGGGATCCGAGTCGCAGACCCACTGCAAAATATAGTGGAGACCGACGAGTCGAGGGACCACTAGTTGTTTATTGATGCGAACTATCTTACGGTCCCATCATGCCTGAGGTACACGCTTGGATTTCTACTAGAGACAAAATATCAAAGAAAGAGATCTTGTACGTCAAACTTAAGATTTTGATACTTCGAATAACGCTTACTAGTACGGGGGACCGCCGGGACGACTGCAAGTGCAGAACGTGCAAGATAAGTTTCCGTGCTCAGGCCCCATCGAAAGCGGAAATCGTAGCAGTTAAATCCCTATTTTCCAAGTAAAGCTGCATGCAGGTAGAATCAAAGGCTTACCCGGTCGTTTCCTGCGCCGTACCTATTAAATATTCAGTCCTACTGGAGGTACGAGTACTCGGGAATAGAATGATGAGGCTTGAATGCGGCTGAAGCTATAAAGTATCCGGGCTTCAGGTTCCCCACATGTCGAGGGCTTCCAGTCAGCTTATACATCACTGGATAAACCCGTCCACACCGGCGAAAGCACTGACAAAGACAAGTGCATGGACAGTATATAAATGTCGTGGACGGCAGCCCTGCCGATAGTAAGGTCGCAGGCCTTATCGCAAAGATTTCAAAGCCTCATCATCCCCAATCGAAGCAGAACATGTCAAGCTGCATCACCTCAAATCCTTCCTTCGGCTTCGAAACGCTAGCAGAGGAAGTCGCGGCCGCCCTCTCTTCTTCAATCGCCGGCAAGACCGTCCTCGTTACAGGAGTAAGCCCCGGCAGCCTAGGTGCTTACTTCTTCACCGCCATCGCACCACACAACCCCAAACTCCTCATCCTCGCGGGGCGCAACCCCTCCAAACTCTCCGAGACAGCCAAAGATGTGCAGCGCGCGAGCCCGCATGTCGAGCTTCGCACGCTCCAGCTCGACCTGAGCTCCCAAACGCAGGTGCGCAAGGCGGCGGCGGAGGTCCTCGAGTGGCCCGAACCGATCGACGTGCTTGTCAATAACGCCGGGATCATAGCTAAGACTTACCAGAAGACAGTCGACGGGTTGGAGATGGATTTCGGGACGAACCACATCGGGCATTTCCTATTCACCAACCTGATCATGCTCCTCCAATCGAAATCGGGACCGCGCGTCATTAACATCACCAGTAGAGAGCACCGGCTGAACGATATCCGCTGGGAGGACTTGGACTTCAAGGTCGGATTTCTCTGTGATGCGCGCACCATATTTCCGCTGAGGCTACACCACGTAGGACGGCAAGGTGTATGACCAGTGGCGAGCCTACGGGCAGACCAAGACGGCCAACGTCCTTTTCACAGTCGCACTGGCCGAGCAGCTGGGCCCCCAGGGTCTGAGAGCTTTCTCGGTCCATCCCGGCTCCATCATGACCAATATGGTCCAGGGCGTGTCTCCAGACGAGATCGCTGCGTTCCGTGAGTCATCCCTTGACTGCGTCTCTCCAGGCGTGAGCTGACCGCAGTGCCGGATAGAGGCCTTGAATAAGGAGCTCGGAGTCAAAGAGGCTGCAGACCCGGCGTCGGAGTTCAAGACTTTGAGCCAGGGGACGTCGACCCATGTGGTCGCAGCGTTCGACCCTGCACTCGATCGTGAGTTCCCTCAGTCTTCTGCTTGTTGCCTGTCGGGGATCCCGGATTTGTTTCATAGAGCATAACGGCGCGTACTTGCAAGACTGCCAGCGCGCTCCAGAGGGTGAAGTCGAGCCATATGCAGTCAAAAGGGACAGTGCTGCAAGACTGTGGAAGCTGAGCGAGGAACTAGTTGCACAAAAGTTCGAGTACTAGCCGGACAGAACGCACTTCCGACGTCCTCATGGCGCTATAGTTATCTTGTCTAGCAGGTTGAAGTACTAAGTAGAGTGTCGCTTCGGGCACATACCGTCAGCCTGAGGCGGGCAGCTGAGACTGCAGAGTTACCCATACAATTCTAGCCCAGATGGACAGCCTGACAGGAAAGAAGGCGAACGCTCAATGCGTTGACAATCCACTTCATCCTCCGGATCATGATGATCCACGGGTAGCGCCCACGGTTCCGAGACACCAGCGTCAAGAAGGGAACCACCCAGGCTCCTAGAACCATCCGTCTCGCGTCCTCTCTGCTAGGGCGTGTGTGAAGATGTTATCTAATATGGCTTATATAATGTAGTTTATTTATAGTTGTATTTCCTGATTAAGCCGAACGGTGAGGATGAGGACGCTATGAGACGGCTGGCCCAACTCGTCGTCCGAGGTTTTACCGGAATTATGTAAGGCGGCTAAGCGACTACGCGCGTCGGTTTATTGACGTTCGTCGACTGCCCGATTTGGATTTCGAGGTGGCTTTCTCGTCGCACCTCAGCCGCCCTTCGAGCATCTCCTCTGCTCGCCGCGCGTCGATGGCGGGGCATACAATCTAATCTTTAAATAGAAAACACTGTTTTGATAGTAATGCATGAGTAGCTGTTGCTCTGTATTTTTGATGTATTTCGATGAATAGATTATTCTATATACATTGAAAAGTGCAAGTACCAGGCTCCTCGATGCAAAGTAACCCCAGACCTTTGAAGAT